TGTATCATCAAGTTTACAGAGTAGGTTTATATGATCTTTAACAAACATCCTACAACCCTATCAATCTTATAAGTACTCTCTTATTTTGTACTCTTTTTTGCTACTGTATATATTTGTATCAAATTAAGTCAATTGTTGTCATTTTTATCTATATAATGTGTCCCTTTGGCTTATTAATTATTAGACTAGTGATAAAATGGTGTTAGTTTCTTATTGACTGAGACCTAAACTTCTTAAGTTTTTCTATCTAGTACCTGGTTATATGTCAAATAGAAGGATTTCACATTTTATAAATGGTCAGTCCAGGTCAAGTTTTTTGTTGATTGTATACTAATCTGATGTTTTAGGTATCATAATATATTTCATTTGGCTCCTAAATTGACAATATTAACATGGGATTTTAAATCAAGTTTTAAGTACACAAGCGACTGAGAATTGCAAAAACTTGTTTGTTAATATATCTTACACTAAAATAGATAAATATACATATAATAATAAAAAGTAGATATAAAATATAACACCTTTTCAATTCAATTCTATTTCTCAATGAAATTTTAAACAACATACTTTTAAGAAATAAATTTTTAAACATTTAGATTTTTAAACATTTAGATAAAATGAAATGTCTGAGTTTTGTCTTCAGATTCATTAAAACAGTTATTTCCTTACATATTCAATATAATAGTTTAAAGCACTCAGTGCATTTGGTGACTCTTGGTGCATTTTGATAAAAATCTCTATTCAGAGATCAATTCCATAAAGACAATTTCTGATATCCCTTAATGTGCCTCTTTCCCCCTTATAGAATCAATCTCCAAGCTATCTGGGGGTTATCAGAGATCTTCAGGGCCTCAGTTGCATTCCAGGACAGCTACTTTAAGCCCCTATCTCCCATTCTATTCTCCAAGGGAGTATTTTCAGTACATTTGATCACTTATGATTTATTTGATATCAATGATATTAGTTTTATACCTCATCAATGGGGTTTATTAATCAATTGATAATTGAAAGATAACTTTCATTTTTAATGCTTCTATAATGAGAGATTTTATTGTCACTTTATGGGATAAAAAGTCATATAAAAGTGATGGTCATTTATGACAGGAATATAGCATGGTGACCATTTATATCTCCAAAATGGGACTATTGTAATTACTAAGACTTGGGAAAAGTCTTGCATTCAGCCTCCATCTGCCCATATATTTCTGGACATTATATTAGAGTGAGGATAAGGGTGACACAGTTGCTTGATGCAAATGTAATCATGCATTGACATAATATAAGTTATTTACATATGTATATTATATATGCAACACTAACTAGATATGAAAAAAATTAAAATACACTCATTTGTGAGTGTATATTTCCTTCGGCCTCTGCTTATTAAAGATAATATACACTCACTTAACTTGGCATGCATGGAAGGGAAATGCAAGTGTTTGAGGTTAAGTGAAAATATCTTAAAGGGAAATATTCTATTATTAGAACTCTAGAAGTATATGATGACAATAAAAATGAGACATCCATGATACAATAAAACAAACATACATTGGATACTTCTATACAAAAGACCATAAGTAATGTATATAACTCATATGCAGGAGTTGAGTGCAGATATGTTTTTTTGTGTAAAGATGTTACAGTGCAGAGTAATATTTCTAAAAAGGTTAGATGGTTATAAATTGTGTCTCGTTAACAAAGAACAAAGCGCAAAATTATCCCAGGGAAAAGGTTTCTTGGTACACATAACTTTGTATACAAACAGTCGATGATGCCTTGAACTGAAAAACTAATGGGGATTCTCCGTTGATGACCGCTTTGAAGTAAAGATCATGGTTTTCTGGTGCATCAGACTTGTAATATATGTATGATCATAGGTTTACATTTGGCATAACATTTTAAAAAGAATTCAGTAATTTTACGAGGCTTTTATTTCTAATTGCTTTATCAAAATACTCATAAGAGTGTCAGTCGTTGAATTTTTCTTATAATTCACCTCTCTAAGGCCCTCGTTGATACACTTTATGTAAGTGTCAAACGCTTGAAATAGAGATATGTTTAGGGTTTCTGGCTCAATAATAACAAGAATATCACACCTGATGGTATTTGCATTTACAGGTGTGTTAAGTAGGCAGGTGAGAGTGATTAACCTCTATTTTGCCAACATAATATTTCAGTTCTCAAAATAATTAGTACATTATTGTAAATCAATATGACTTATTAATAAATGGACAAAGCATGACAGGAATTATTCTGCTTGATTTACAGTATTTGTGTTGTCCACATATTACTTAACATACAATATAATTCCCAAATTGTTGCTGAAGATTCATATTAACAATTTTTGAATTTAGTGATATTCAATCTAAGATAGCTTGGGATGGCAATAATGGCAAAGTGGGAGGCCTCCCCTCAGGAGATTATGGTGCAGTGACGAGTGTAGATGCAACAACGCTTCTCCTTTATGAGATAATAGGGCCCAATAGGAGCAATTGTGATGCATCAAGGCACAAACAATCTTTTACCGAAAAAATAACATAATCAAAATAAGGATTTTGTTTACAAGGTTCCTCATCGGTATACATGATATTTAACAAAATGAAGACTGTAAATTATGAGACAGAGATTTCAAACAGTGCTACTCTGATAGATATATTGAGCCTTCGGATTAGTTGAACAATCCCTGTGTTTACATATTTCTCATTCTGACCATCATCTTCCTGTGTTAATACCTCATCTAGAAAGTCAGAAGAATTGTTTGCTTGACATATGAATGTAAACTTTCTTGTTGGTGTGTGTGTGGCCAGTTTTTATTATGTATCTTGAGGTCAGTTAGAATAATAGACAGTGTTTCACCTGTGGTTCTTCTGATCAAGGTATACTTTTCATTTCACCTATTATTAAGACAAGGAAAGTTTCAAAACTGTAAATTATCCCAATTTTTTATGATTTTCCAGCTTCTCATCAGGGTTCAAGACAATTTTTTAAATTTTCGACTGGAGGAAAGGTGTTACAGTTACTCTGGTTACATAATATTTCATCAGTAGAAATATTAGGGAGAAGCATGATAGTGGCAATAGGAGCTATTACTCTTTCACTCTACATAACTAGAACATGATCTTATAGATCAGAATGGGGTAGGAGTAGAATTAAAAATATTTGTTAAGTTATTCGAATTATACATAGTGGAAATATCATGTTTATAAAAGCTGTTTACCACCTATCAAATACAACCATCAATAATATACAACTAAATTCAAAGTGTCTTTTGTTTTTATATTTACGACAAATACATTGATATTTACAAGTATCTAGTCAATAAAATCAGACATAGAAAAGCACCATTGCCCTAATTCAATCTTGGAATCCTTAAGTATGATTGGTCAGACAAGGTCAGCTGACATCTACGAGGCTTATGGGACAGTAGATTTGAGATATGTGGTCAATAAATGATGATCTTTGACCATGAAGCAACAATAAATATATATGAAGTCTCTTGTGATTTTGCACAGAGGACCATTGAAGACTAATCATTTCTGAACTGGTTTCACCTATGGTACACTTTCAATAGTATTGCACCGAGTCCCTGTACTACCCCTGGCTATCTGCTAAATCTATTCCAACCTCCTTGGTAAAAGACACGATACAGGACTCAAATTGTGCCTGCCAAACAAATTATAAATAGTCTTTTTCTGCCATTTTGGTATCCCGACTTTAACTTGGTAGTATCTCTTAATAAGAATGTAAATGCTATTGCAAGCGTTAGAGAGGACGTTTGAATTACATTAGAATGACATTTTCCAATCACCTTTCATTCAAAATGTATTGGTACATTAATAGCTAAATAAGTCTGTGTCTGTAACAGGTGTTTCCCCAACACAGGTTTTACTGTAGCTAAATCAAACCAGCACGTAGGAAGTTTATATAGCCACACAGTACATAATAATACGGAAGCAAGTCTTGAATCTTATAATACACAGTTTATATATACAGATGTTGCTGTTATTTTTAGCTGATGCCTGATACTTAGATGTATAGCAGACTTTTAATCGGGCAGTCTAATTCGCCACAAATATGCCCTTTCTCAAACAATTTGCTCAAAATTAACCGATTTTCTTTGATCGCGATCAGCTTAGCTAAAATTTGATGCAGTTTCACTTTAAAACATCATGTAGTTAGACTTCTTTGAGGGGCTTACAGCAAATACCTGACCACAAAGTGTACTTTTTAACATGCGCCTCCATAAATAAAATGCCACCATTGTTATTCAGTTTAAAGTAACAGGGATTTTCATAAAGTACACTAAAAACATCTTCACTACATGGATTTTGAATTAGCCAAGTTTATTCAATGCAATATGTTCAGCCGGCTTCAGTTTAATATATGAATATATGAATAAAAATAGATGTTTGACTTTAAACATTCTACATTGGGCTTATTCTTCTATCAAGTTTCCATGAGTTATTAAAATAAGCAGGAATTGTCTAGTTATACACTTGTGGTCATAATATTGAAGAACAACATCTGAAAAACTGAAAGTACAGATACACATTTAAAGACCTGAAATAATGAATGGCTGGTTTAAGACCAGTGTGCCATCTATTTTAATACAAAAACACTATATAGATCACACTGAATTATAGATTTATCAAAATCAGTCCCAACAAGATATTTTTGATATTTTTATTTTTTAGGTTTAAAGTTTTTTATTATCATTTAAACAAAACAAATTACAAACACAGCAAGGGCCGAAGCAATGCATTGATCATGCAGTCACAAATAATTAAATAAATATATAGATGTTTATAGAACATGTAGTATTTCCCCTTTTGATGCCATTCATTAGAAATAAAACAATTCAATGATTGTATTTTTGAATCGGGCAAGTCATACAATTGCTGAGTTTTCACCAAGAAACGTTGATCATACAGCCTAACGTTTAATACATTAACACCACTTGCTTTCAATATGTTAAATATCATATTATTTTCTGCTTTCAGGTGCAGCCAATGCCAAACATGATAGTATTTATAAAAGACTGAATTCTACCTTGAAAGACATTAACAAACACTCAAAATCCTATCCACATTTACGTCGCAAAAGGTCCGCATCTCATGAGCGAAATGTAGAAGTATTTGTTGTAGCTGATAGAAAAATGGTAGCTTACCATGGAGATGATCTTCAGCATTATGTATTTACTCTTATGGCTATAGTAAGTATTTATTCTGGATGTTCAGATAATAGATGACATATTTTTACATCCCCGGGATTTTTCTCAGCTTATTTATCAAAGTATTAATTTTCTTAAAACTGCAACCAAAATCCTCATTTTTCATGATTTTTAACTTCAGTGCTAATGGGAGGGGGTCTGTGTTAATTTTTCCAATAGATGGTGCGTGACAAGTAAAGACATATTCAACTAGGTGGCATGTTATTTCCAAATTTCCAACAGGGCACATGACCCAGTTATGCTGAGGAGATCACTAGTGGTTCAATGTCTGTTTTTAGACAATGCCTTGTTGAGAATGATCAGTATCAGGATATCAATTCTCATTCTGTCAAGTTCAGTATTTAGCAAGATCATTGATTTAAAACAGCAGTGGGGTACTGGTCTGTCAGTTTCAATATGTCACTGTGAAAAATCATTTGCCATTGAAAAGTAGTGTTGAACTTGATTTGTAGCAATGAAAAATAGCCATGACGTAAAACCTTAAAACTGTTGTTTGAAAAATATCTATGAAACATGATAAGTTATTAATCATTTGGAAACAAAATCATGGTCAAATGCACTTATAGTAGGAGGTACTCAAACAGGTCTAAATACTGGGCCTTGTACAGTTTAGCGCACTGCCTCAGAAAAACTTGACCAGATAGGTGACTGGTGCTTTTAAATGAATGGAGGGTTTGTTTTAGGTTAAGGTATTCCTTTGGGCTGTTTGGTAAAGTGCTTTGATATTTTTGAAATTCTTATTCACTAAGTTGAGTCTATTTGAAGATTAATGAATCATCATTCACTTGAGTCATGATAAATGATATCATCTGGCGTACTATACCCCACTGGTAGACTTTATTGTATATGGTAGATTTGACTGATAGATTCTTTCAAGCATTTGGTTAAAGGTACCAATCCTTCTCACGTCCTCGAAAATTATAATATTCATCAAGTCCAGATATGGAAAAAGTTTCTGACATCATGTCCAACTCAGCGTCATGATAAATCATGTAATATCATTTATTCTAGATCTTGTCATTCTTCGAGTAAAAAATGAGATGAATATCAGAATTTCAATTTCGTATTTATTTAATGGTGTTTCTAATTTTATGAACCTCTCAATCTTGCAATACTCATTTTGGAACCAAGAGACCATTTGACTAATTGTAGAACATTTGAATTAAATCATTTTAATTTTAGAGTTAAAGTCATTTATCGGATTATTAACTTGTCCTAATTTGAGGCATTTCGTGTTTTCCTAATCACTCAATTTTTCAAATCACATGAAGGCTATTTCTAAACTGAGTTATATATTTTCATTTAAAGCCACTTGTTGTTAATAAGTTCCATGTTATTGCTTTCAGGTGACCAGTATATATAGGCATAGCTCCATAGGCAATTTAGTTAATATTGTAGTAGTCAAATATATGCAGCTTGAAAATAAGGTATGTATTCATTTATCATTTATATCACCACCATTTTTGTAAAATTTTGTAAAATGTATTTTAAAGTTGCATTTATATTTTCAAAAGTAAGTTCAGCTAATGTTATGGTCATTGGCTTGTGGATATTTACTGATGGATACTGACTTGTGGATGCACTGATTTATCCTATGCCCAGTAGAGCTTTAGGGAGATAAGTTGGTAAAATTTATCATGTATCCTGATTTTGAGGTTTCCATATCCAGAACCTCAATATCTCCCACTCCTGGGTATATCTGCCCACTTCTGGAAAACTCTACTGGGTATAGGATAAAGCAGTTATGTATGGCTAGTTTTGAAATGGGGTTTATTCAGAGGGACATATGGATATCTCCATCCCATATCCAAAACCTCCCAGTACATAACCCTTATTTATGAAGCCTGACTTTTGACACTGACTTATTTATACTGACTAATCGACACTGAACTCCAGGTTACCTCTCTGCAGATTTATGGAGTAGACACTTCATTTATCTCAGCTCTACTTCAAAAGAGTAGCCAAGGTTTCTGTTTATGCCGAGTACAAACACATACATCTTTTCATTGTTGTAGAGGGGTAACCATGGTAACACAGTTAGGTTGTATTACTCTCACAGTAAGAAAACAGAGATTTTCAATTCTCAATCATTATTTCTGTTTGCCTATACTACTTGTATTTGATATTAATTCATTTGTTTAAATGATTTTTCCTCATTTTATTTTCAAATGTTAATGAGCAAAATTGATGAATAATTTTTAGGATGATCCAAAAATCTCAACGGATGCAACTTCCACCCTTGAGTCATTTTGCTTGTGGCAGCAAGCTATGAATGACGCAGATGATGATAGTCCCTATCACCACGACACAGCTGTTCTCATCACTAGAGAAGATATATGTAGATCTGTCCGGAAGTGTGACACATTAGGTACAGTATATTTAGATCTCTCTTAAAGTGTGACATATTAAGTTGGGTATATCTTGATCTGTCTTAAAGTGTGACATATTAAATAAGGTATTTGTAGATATATATCTTACGACTTACAGTGTGACATGAGGTAAGGTACATGTGTATATCTAGATCTATCTTAAAGTGTGACACATTAAAATGAGGTATTAATTGTAGATATGTCTTACAGTGTGACACATTAGGTGAGGTCAGATGAATAGAACTAGAATATTGTAGATATGTCTTTAGGGTCTAATCTTAAAGTGTGACAGAATGTCTCCAAATATAGTGCTAACATTTTTCATATGTACTCTATTTCAGGCCTGGCTGAACTGGCCACTATGTGTGACAACTATAGGAGTTGCTCCATCAACGAAGACAATGGTCTCAGTGCTTCCTTCACTATAGCACATGAACTTGGACATGTGTGAGTTTTAGATTAGCAATATGTCGTATAAGTCATTCCAAATTTTGATATAAATTAATAATTGTTTAAAGTCTCTTGACCCTGCCCATTCACCTTCAAAATCTTTACAAGAGTTTCAAGCAAGCAAAATAGTGCATTTATAAATAATTTATAGTAAAACAGAAAAACTAATACTTAAGTAAGTTTTGTAATCATATAATGTCATCATAAAAAGTGCATTTTTTTGTAGGTTTGGCCTACCTCATGATGATGACTATAAATGTACAAGTAAATTTTCTGACCAGAATGATGGCAACTATCATGTGATGGCCCCTACCTTGGACTACACCTCAGAACACTGGTCTTGGTCGAAGTGCAGCTCTACTTTACTCACTGAGTTCCTCGAGTAAGCCACAATATTTCAAAGGAGTAAAATGTACCATAGGGTTTAGCACCATAGTGTCTTTTAATCATGGATATTTTTAATTAGGTTTTAAATCTTTGAATTAGTCAGAGTTGTAGTAAGGCACAAAAAATGTAAACTTTTTGGGAAAATCAGTACATCAACTGAAGTATATTGAAATACTCACTCCAAAGCTATCATGATTAGGGATCTGAATTTGACATCATTGATTTGCTACATTAACTTTTTTACTGTGCATCATCCAATGAGTCGTCTATTTCAACATTGATGGTGAATTGTGTTGCCTTATTTGAGACCCTTACATTTCCAGTGCCGGGTATGGTGAATGCCTGCGTGACAAACCTATGCAGAAATATTCTGATACTCGCTTGAGGCACAATCGTTACCACCACCGCGAGGTGAAGAACAAATTACTTCAGTCTAGTCTGAGGAACAACAAGGTTAAGATAGGATATTTCCAAGAGAGCATAAATGACATTCCAGTACTAGAAGTGGGCCAGAACTTCAGTGTGGATGAGCAGTGCGCTCTGAAGTTCGGCAAGGGATCTGTTATCTGCCCATACGATGTAAGTATAACTAATATTTAGAGGGTATGATTTGAATGATTAATACTTAATGATTACTAGAATCGACAAAATGTAGTGTTATTTTATTTTAAATGGCCACTAATTTTGAAACCTCTAAGCCATTAAAAGTGTATGTACATGCATTTTACTCAAAGTTCTATAGAAAATGAAAAAGAGTTCAATTTGGTTCTGCTACCAGGAAAAAATAATAGCATTGTTTTGCACAATTAAAGTGATATACCATTCAATGTACAATTGTACAGAATAATATTGATAACTAAATGAACAATAAAAATGATTTTGTTGAGCCAATTTTTATATCTTGTAAGGTTCACTCTGCCCCCGAATGCAAAAGACTTTGGTGTGTTAAATCACAAACTGCAGGCTGCAGGACCCACCACATGCCATGGGCTGATGGGACCAGCTGCACCTCCCTTGTTGGACATAATGGCAGGAAAAGGGTAAAATGAATCTAAACTATTTAAAGTAAGCTAATTAAGGCTGATCAAATTATCAAGGATATGAAAATGCAATGGAAAGTCATAACGTAATAGGCCATATTGATGATGTAATTGGGTAAATGTAATCTTACAAACTAATCATAAAACTCATATTGGTGAAGATAAGAAGTATGAGCGCAAGGGTGAGAAGTTTAAAATGTCGAAATTTTCTTTCAGAGATGTCCAGATGGGAAGTGTTGGTGTCAAAAGGGGAGGTGTGAGGAGAAAAGGATTGTATGGTCTACACGACCAGTAGATGGCAGTTGGGGAAAGTGGGCACATTACGGGGCGTGTTCAAGGTCATGTGGGGGTGGCGTAATGATGGCAAAGCGAGAATGTAACAACCCACCTCCCTCAAATGGCGGCAAATTTTGCACTGGAAAACGAGTAAGGCACAAGGCTTGTAACTACAAAAATAAGGTAAGTCAATTGAAACTAACAAATACAATGCAATCCAATACAATACAATACAATGCAATGTAATTCAATACAATACAATGCAATGCAATGCAATACAATACAATACAATACAATGCAAAAGAATGGAACTGACCTGAGAACATATACCATATCTAATATGCAAGCAATAAGTCAAAAAATTAGAAACTCATAATTGAAAAAGATGCATTGAAAAACGAATTCGGTGTGCACCTTCTGAAGAAAATTCATACAAAACAATTTTGTGTTCTTTTTATGAAGCATTTTCTGAAGTACTAAAATCATATACTACGTACACTAAATAGGGAAATACTTATCATGTACCTTTTTGTTGAACTGTTTTCTATTCTGTTGTATTTGATTTTTGTTGACAAACTCTCATGAGCAAAGCGTAACTATGGCAAACACTCATGTGTGTTTTATTCCAGCCTTGTCCTTTGGGGTCTAACTTCAGGGCAGAGCAATGTGCTGCGTTTAACAACCAAACTTTCAATGACAACACACTTCCCCCTAATGTGCAGTGGGTGCCAAAATATTCAGGGAGTAAGTATGATAAATGTATTATATATATATGCTCTTTACTGAATTGAACTTAACTGGAAAGAGTAAAAAGACATGTAGTTCAAATTAGTTAGTTTAGGTTCATTTCTTGGGATATGATTTCTTAGTCAATAAGTCAATATACATTGCATTTTCCAAATAGGTGGCATCCTAGATATGAGTTCAATATAGAATTGTAACAATATATTAACACAAGCAACCTTTTAAACTGCATGTATAGAATCCCTTTATTTTTCCAGTCAAGCTGGAGGATCGTTGCAAACTTTACTGCCACGTGAAATCTAGCACAAAGTATGATTTACTCAGGGACAAAGTAAAAGATGGCACTAAATGTCGCCCTGATGCTTCAGATATCTGCATCAATGGCAAATGTTATGTAAGTATACAGTATACACAAATTCTTGAAATTCTCTCTGCCTAAAATTCGTTTTTAAAGCTCATGGTTTCTTGACATTTGAAGATATGAAAAAATTTTAAACCGAAAAAATGTGTTCATATTGAGAGGTGTTTGGAATGAGAGTTGTTTGAATATACAGGGTTTACTGTAATTCACTGTTTGCAGCGAGCTGGATGTGACAATAAACTAGGCTCATTCAAAAAGAACAACAAGTGTGGGGTGTGTGGAGGAGATGATTCAATGTGCCGTACCATTCGGGGACAATACAACCATCTGCGTAATCAAGTCTATGGTAGGTAGTCTGTCTGAATATAATTGACTGTTCTGATTCATGTACTACATTACAAAAAATAATTCACTGCTTTAACTGCAAATCTTTGTATAGTGTAATGTTCCAATTTTTAACCACACTGTTTATTATATGATATGATTATTATAGGTTGCAAAATATTGCCCTGTATATTATACCATATATCAGCTGTGAGTTACAAAATGTATATTATACCATATTTCTCTTGAAGGTTACAATGAGGTGCACAAGATACCTGCCAGAGCCACAAGCATTCAGATAAGCCAGAAATCCTACTTGGGCAACAGTTTTAAAGATGACAATTATCTAGGTATTTACTGCTGCATAATATTGAAAGAAATATCAGCTGAATACGAGGGGTGATCCAAAAGTCTTGGACGCCCTACTCTATTTTTGTCGGTTTTTGATAAAATTACTTTAAACTTTCCAATAATAAAGACCAACAACCTAACTAGTTTGTGTATTACTTTCATGGAGAAATGGTATATTTTATATAGTTTTCTAGACAGTTTTTAATACAGGGACCCTGCCACCCGGAACGGTATTTGCACATGGCAACTTCCAGCCTTAAATGTTACCGCCATTTCACTTGTTTCGCAAGTCTTGACCACTATATTTCTTTGAATTTTGAATGTTAAACCATGTTAGTTTACTTCCTTTATTAGTAGGCAACCAATTAATTGTGTTTTAATTATAATGTCACATATGACAATGGCCGCACATGTCAAATTCTAAGAAAATGCCATCAGACAAGCAACCCTCATTCCGGTATCATTTTTTCCTGAAAGATGGCTGCTGAAATGCAGAACACGAAAGAAATCAAAGTGGAACAAAGAATACTACAAGATATTTTCACTATTATTTATTGACCTTGAGCAGCTACCATATGCATGATACAGTCTATCTATGGCTCCATGTGATTTTCTTCCTTTTCTCAAAGTTGAAAGGAGGGTTGAAAGAAAATGTTTTTTACTTATTGAATGAGGTTTAGAGTAGCACTCCAGCAGCATTTGTATCACATAAGCAATGGCGGTTTCATAAATGTCTTCCATTCATTGGTAAAGTGGTATGAAAAATGTGTTCAAATTCGTGGAAAATATGTTGAAAAGTAGGTCTTAATATGTGAAGATGATGATGGCAGATGACACTCGACTGAAAATAGAAAATTCTTTCATATCATGGCTGGTGTTAGGTTGTGCACCTGCACCTAAAGTATTTGCCATGTTATAACAGTTGTGACGTGATTTGCTATATTTAAATACCGTTCCGGGTGGCAGGGACCCGGTATTAAAAGATATGTAGAAAAGTAGCTAAAATATATCATTTTCTGTTGAAACTTATACATAAAGTTGTTAAGATGTTGATCTTTATTATCTGAAAGTTTAATGTAATTATAATAAAAAATAGCAAAGTTAGAGCGGGGTGTCCAAGACTTTTGGATCACCCCTCGTATTTTCTCAATTTAGAAGTTGAACCAATGAAAAGTGGTACTATTTAACCTTTTCTCACCTGTTTTTGAAAGTAATCATTACAACTTTACCTATAGTCTTTTTAGATGGATATTTTACATGTGTGGTAATATTATTTCAGCTCTTAAGAATGGGCGTACTGGAGAATGTATCTTGAACTGCCACTTTGTTGTGAGCATACACCCGAAGGAAATCAAACTTGGGGATGCCAAGCTACAATACACAGGGACCAAAAGCCTGGTAGAGAGGATACAATGCAACAAGACCATTGAAGATGAACTTATAATTATGGTATGTCTTTTAAAAATAAGTAACTAATCTTTCTGTTTTATTACAATTAAAGATAGTATTGTATATTTTGGATTTTGAATATTTTTTTGATTTATGCTCTGATATGTCCTTTTTCAGCAGCTAGTGTCCCTCATTGTCAAATATTTTAAAACATGGTAAATAGAAGCAACAAACAATGTGAAATGTGAGGAGTAAACACGTAATGTAGTCCTTTAGTTCACAACCACTTTCGTTTTTCTTGTAAAAATCTGAAAATGAAATGTGAAAAATTTACATGTGAAATGTTATTGAAATGTGAAAAATGAATTGACTGACAGAGAATATGGTATCCTGCATGTTGATTTTATTATTCTTGTAGGTATTAGCAGTTGGTACATTACAGCCACCCAACATTCACTATTCCTACATAGTGGCTGACACACGTTACACACGAGCGTATGCCTGGTACCAGTATGGTCCATGGGGCACCTGTAACCAAACATGTCAAGGTAAATGAGCCCAAAATGTCACTTTGGTGTTGGATTTTATATAACCACTATCAAGAAGTTATGGCATATTGCAAGAGCAGCTGTTTTTTATATGACCAGCTTTCAAAGTTCATCAGTTGATGGTATGTTTTGAGCAGGAAATTATGGAAACAGGGGTAATTTAATGGGAGGGATGGAATATGCTTTTATTCTGAGGGAAAATATGATATCAGCCAAAGAAAATATAGTGACAGTGTGATAGCCTGAGTGAAAACATGTTAAGAGTCAATGATTTTACTGTTCATGTATTGCTTTTATGGTTTCTAGGGAGAAGACAGAGGGAACCTATATGTATTCGGACAACAAACAACAGAGACAGAGTGCATGATCAAAGATGTGCAAACCTGATCAAACCCAAACCAATCATACAGCCCTGCAACATGGATTGCCAAGTCAGGTCAGTAACACAGTTAATTGCACTGGTTGACCAACTTGGTTGCACTGGTTGCTTTGTGTCTTTGGTAAAAAATCAAATGTTGATCATTAAGGATTTAAGCCCTCAGAGCCCAATAAATTTAAGCATGAAGTGTATCTAATTTTGAATGAGGGTAGAAGCCTGATTTCAAAGGCTAATTGATACAAGATATGAGTGCATTAAATTACCCTCAATTCATCGAGTCATCGCAAAATATTTTGTACAGTGTAATTATACCATCCTAATTTTGCGGAATAAAATTTGAATTTGATGTGTGGCAACTAGACCCATACCAAAAAATATTGATTCATATTTGTTAAATTATGTAAATAATTTGATGAATGGTTAATATGTATGTTTAGATGGAAGATCAAAGAGGGAGCGTGTAGTGTGACATGTGGCAAGGGGGTAAGACAACAACGGGCCCAGTGTGTCAGGGTCTCCCAGGGAGAGAGCTACATCAGTGATAAGGCATGTGAACAAATAGAGAAGAAACCTCCCAATGTGGTAGATTGTGAAGTCCCCTGTGTGCAGACCACATGGGACTATACACGATGGTCCAAGGTCAGTCATGAAACATCTTATATGCCTCCTAATTAAAGCAATTCACTTTCTCTAAAGCTTCCAGTGAAGTTTCAAGTGGTTTTAAACTTTTTGACATCAACATAGTTTTTATTCACAAATCCGTGTTTCATATCTTTAGCTGTGATTCAATATAGGTTATTTGATAGGAGGGATTGAATATGAATTCTATTCTGACAGAAAATATGATGTTGGCCAAGGAAAATATCATATTGACTGATGGCCATTGACAAAATTGTATATACAATGTTACAGTGTTCGCGTACATGCAATGGTGGTATCCAATACAGAGAGGCAAGGTGTATGTACAATAACTTCAAGAGAGTGCCTGACTATCAATGTAAGGGAGACAAAGAAGTGAGAAAACCCTGCAACCAACAGCCATGTGGAGACTGGAGTACCACTGACTGGGGAAAAGTAAGTGCTTGGTTGTTTGTTTGTTTGTTTATTTGTTTGATTTTGATCCCGTGAGATCATGCAGCCAATCATATTTTCACCAGGATTGATTTTTTTCAAATGTCATTTTAAATCTTTTTACCAAATTCTTAAATGGGAGCTATTCATGTTCAACACAATAATTTTCTAATTCTCACATGAGTTCAGTACTATTTTTTCATGCCTCTGACAAAATATTAATATGTTTGTTTTTAATATTACATTTGCTAATCAATTTATATACCTGTTTTTCAATATACCAGTATGTGCCACAATAATAGTGTGCAAATGTAATGCAATGAAAAATGGAATGGATTATTTACTTCCAGTGTTCTGTGACATGTGGAGATGGTAAACAACACAGGTTGGTGAATTGTAAGTTTGGCTCTACCACCGTCAGTGAAAAGTATTGTCATGCTACTCCTAGACCTAGGAACACTATGTACTGTACAATGATGCCATGCCCTGAATGGAAGCACGGAAATTGGGGACCAGTAAGTACATGTGTATTACACTCACTGCAGTTTTACACAGACAGTATAATCTAGTGCGAAAGTACCACTTTAACTTTAAATATGGCCAGATTGGAATGAACATTTAATGTCAAATGAGCAATAAATGATTCAGCTTGGATTGGGGGTGTAATAAGGGAGGTGTCTTTTGTATGTAGAGCAGTATGATTTCCACATTGAAGATTCAAAGTTCTCCATTTGGCACTAAGTTGAGTTTGGTGGAAGATCTGCAATAGAATGTTTTATGTATCCTTTGACCTGAAGTTTAATAGAAAATAGTCAACTGATGCAATGAGTTAATGTTACAGTGTGACACGACATGTGGTAGAGCATCAAAGCGGAGAGCTGTGGGGTGTAGGGCTCCCAATGGTACAGCGATGCCACCCAAGATGTGTGACCCACAACAACAACCCAAGCATGTTACACAATGTTACCTGGCAGAGTGCCCCATCACCACACTAGCGCCACCTACCACTCGCCCAACCACAACAACGACAACTACTACAACAACAACTACGCCACCTATGAGAGCAAGGTGGAGATATGGTGACTGGGCTGAGGTATGCAATCTGATTGGTCAGCATTGTGTCATGTGATCTGTCAACTATATTTTTGGACTTATAAGTTCAATCCAATGTCTACTAAATCATAACATCAATAAATCTTACACCCAATACATTTGCTCCTTTAACGCACATATACAAGCACTGATAAGTTGCATTGCTTTAGTCAACATTAGTTGATGTATTTTGATTACACTTAAGTTGCAACAAGCTGTTGTCCTCAGCTCAGTTTTCACCAATTTATTTCTCCCCAAACTGTTTTGGCCAATCGAGGAGCTAGAGCAACACAAGAGTTTGATGCAGAAATTACATTGATGATATGTGACACTTACGATGTAATAAGAGATAAATATATATAAATGTTCAATTGGTTTTCAGTGCTCTGTCACTTGTGGCAATGGCGGTACTAGAAGACGCTATGTTATATGTTGGAATGACTTTGCAAATGCAGCTACAGATGACTGGTATTGTCAACATCTAGAACGCCCCAGTCAGACTGTTGAATGTAACATGATGCCATGCAGTCATTGGAAAGAGGAAGCTTGGGGTGATGTGAGTATAGTGTAGTGTAGTGTAGTGTAGTGTAGTGTACAGTTGTGTAGTATAGTATAGCAGACCAATCTGTGAATTAAATCAAAGTATGTTAGAACATGTTTGCATTGTGGATGGTATACCCTCATGAAGTTCTGTTTTTAAGTGCACATCTCTTTGAATAGTAACATCACATTTTAAAGTCACGCACTAGCATTTTAAATATAAACAATTTGATTAAATTCTTTACAAATACCTGTACATGAGACATATTAGCATATTTGTAGTGTACCATGATTGTTTCATATATACGTGTTTTGCAGTGTTCCGTATCATGTGGTGAAGGTCACATGACAAGGAAAGTGGAATGTATCATGTTAGATGGACAACGAGGCAAGGACATTGAATGCAATGCTGCAATTAGACCTTCCAGCACAAAGATCTGCAACAGGTAACATTTTGAAAGTATTTCAAACAAGCAAATCATTTTCAAAAATAGAAATTCATAACAAGTACAAGCTTATCGAAGAGTCTTATTTTTTAAAAATCTTTTGTTGTGCTCATTTACAGAATAGAAAAATATTGAATTAAATAGCTTTTTGAATTGAATTGAGTAAGTGATATTAGAAATTCAAATAACAATGCAGAAACAAATAAATAATTATAAATATGACTTGTTATACATTGCAGGCAAGATTGTATTTCCATCAATGACTTTTCCCGGGACTTTGACATTAAGCCAATTAATAACAATGTTGAGGGTACCAGGTACTGGAGAATGGGACCTTGGAGCCAGGTAAGTACATTTTTGGTTGTTACAATATTGGTGGCGGTCAACAGTCAGCATCTGTGTCAAATTGTAACACTTGTAATCATTTGCTTACCAGAAGGTGATATTTTGTCTTGTTAATGCATTGTACATTATATACAAGTATACTCAAATGTCTCTCGTATTACATTAAAAGTTTGTATACTAAATGTGGATAGAACAACCGTTCCATGTCAACACTATGTGCCAAAATTCCAGTAAATTGAATTGAATATGCATGTGATTTTACCTTTCAGTGTACTGAGACATGTGGTGACGGCTGGCAGAGACGTATCGTTGTGTGCCAAGATGAGAATAGATACTACAGAGAGTCATGTGACCCTAACCATAAACCTCCTGAGATGCGTAAATGTCGTCTAATGCTGTGCCCAATGTGGTGGTACGGTGACTGGGGACAGGTAGGTTTCATTTAAATCTCCTTTAAAGCTCTAGAGGGAGGGGACAGTTACAGGGAGTTTCATGTACATTATCTTGATGGCCTCCTTGAATTGTAACTGCAGTTTTACTATACTTGTATCCTATTTCTTACTACTTAATGCTAATTACTATTGCAAACACACTCATGGATCATCCAAATAGATTCATTGTTCATTTTTTACTGAAATAAGTTCACTGTTGTAATGTTCTTTAAGATAGGTTTATTACATGTTTATTTTTTATTATTATGTATTCCAGTGCTCCAAGAGCTGTGACAAGGGCCACCAAGACCGACCCATAGAGTGTAAACTACCGAATGGTACCTCCATTCCCACACATCATTGCGATAAAAGAGATAGACCTACTGGGAGACGATACTGTGAGGTGAAGAAATGCACCGAGGAAGAAAGAAGACGCGGTCGTTGGCGAAAGCAGCGTTGGTCAGCGGTAGGCAACCATAATTATGATCGCAATTATCGCAGGCCCTCTTATAATAATCCCAATTACATCAATAGATACCCAAATAGATACAGGTATCCACGTAGAAACCCAAATACAATTTAATTATCTATTTTATGGTGCAATGATGCATTCATGAGTTCATACAATTCATACGATTCGGAAATGTTAAGAATATTTTTTACTTTTGTGGAGAAGTTCAATGAAGTATTTAGTTAATGTATACATAAGTAGGTTCATTAAGCCAGAAATTTTCAACATCGATTCTAATCATAGAATGATTACAATGAATCCTATTGCCGAAACTACCTGTGATTTCTACGAAGGAATTCATGTTTCCTGAAAAACTGAAATAATGTCCTTAATGTTAACACTTAACTGTGTTACACCAATTCAGAATCTCACATATTTATTCTCAAGTAATACCTTGTTAGGAAGTACCATTGTATGTGTATATAAATAATCCATATATTCTGAAAAAATGCGAGGGATATATGAAAAAATCACAAAATGAGAGCATTTTTATCAGAATATATGGATCGCCCCTTGTACTGTATATTCTAATAGTTCATATACAATAGTTGTATACCATGTACAAATGAATATTTTAACACTGCCAGTTATACTTTATGTAACATTCTACTATTGTATTTTACAATAAGATGTTTATTATATATTATTGAATGATTGAACACTGCCAGTTCACATTGCATTTTAAAGTCAAAATGCTTACAAACATGTATATAGAGGATATATACCTGGTACTAGTATATGTAAGAGTGTTGCAGTTACAAGTAAAACATGTTAGTTTTAATGCTGCATTTACTGGAGACTGCAAGATTTGTGTAAATGCTGGCCTGAAGTCAAGTGGAATGGGTTCTATGGGCTTGTATGTGTGGAAAAGAAAAAAGTCTTACCTTTGTTGAAGATTGGCAAAGTTCAAAGTTTTGTCTCTTAAAAGTTTGAGTTCCCCTTGTGCTAAATTGTGAGTGTAAAATACCATGAATAGAATGAGATGAGGTTTCTGTAAATGCAGCATTTGGACTTATAAATAAAATACTGCTGCACTGTACTTGGAGCATAGTTAATTAGTATTATAATTATTAGAAAAGATCTTCTTATAATAATTTTTATCAGGTTTCTGGAAGATTCTGATAGTGATGGTGCTAGTTGTCAATTGCATTTAAAGAGTTACAAATGAGGGTTAGAAATATGCATTTAGGAAGTTTGTGTTGAGGCTTTTCAAAGGGGAATTTAGGGTTTTGAAAGCTTCTTGATCCTGAACATTGCAATAAAAATGTATTGCATTTAAGAACACATTTCAAGATGATATTGCATTTAGTAAGGTGCTATAAACCAGTTTTGCATTTAGATTGTATATAGTATATCCAGTTATTATCATAGTAAATAAACATTTTTCATTCTAAAAAAAAATATATAAAATTCATATTTTAGAATGATGCCAGTTGAAATGAGCTTAATATGATATAACCATTAGAAAATATCAATTTTAAATAATTCATAGAAATAAAAATATATATACTTTCTAAGAAAACTACAAAATCATTATAAAAAAGTTTGCTGTAATCTATATAATTGTTTCCAAACCCCTGTGTTTTTATTATTTATGTGTTGTTGCCATAGTAACATTAATGTTTTACAAACAAATTTAATTCTACTTGGAATTATTAGTTATTTAAATTTATTATTAATAATCCCTTGAGTTTACATGTTGAACACTTTGGTTTTGACGAAGACAGTCTAATGTCTAACTTATTTTTTGTTAAGTATTTATTTGTCGTTATGGGTTTTTACTTTTTAATGTGCAATATTTTATTTAATTTGTCTGAACAAGCATCTATATAATCAATGAAATTGTTGGACATATTTTTGCAGTAACATTGAAATCATATTTAGAAGTATAAGTATATTATTAGATACTCTTTTTGAATTTATAAGAAGGGTGCACTATGGTTGTACTGGAGGTGCAGAATACAGCCTATTTAAATTAAAGTTATACTCAATATCGTATGTATATAAAATCACTATATCATGAAAAATTATAAAATGCATCCCATATTGTATGATTATTATATATTGCACTGTACATACCATGAACGTATGATATACATAGAAGGTAGTCATTATACATAAATGTAAACCCACAATATCTTGATAACCATTAAGCAAATTACTATTATAATTTCTCATAAGAACAAACACATAGCTCTCTCTAATATATGGTTAGTTAGTATATACATGTACCAGCTGGTATTTGAAATGCAGACTTCAGGTTAGGAGTGCTAGGGGGTATTCAAAGAGAAAAATACTGATAGAGAGAAGGAGGTCTGTTAATCCAATGTTGTAGAAAGAGATTCATACTTTTATAAAATAACATAACTACTGTACAAAGGTCGATCAGTAAATTCCCAGGGTATAATAAGGAATGTATGTCCTATACCTCCACCAAGTGACATGAATTAGGCCATCATTTGTGAAATTTATTGATCACCCCTTGTTCACTCTCAGTCTGTCATTCTGTTATCCTACCTCAGATATAAATGCTTTTCTAAACAGTACAGGGAACACCTAAAAGTCAATCAATGCTTACTATTTCAATCACAACTTATTACAATATTCTCAATAACATGAATTTATATGTTAATTTAAATTAATATTCGATTTATAAGGCCATAAAAGCCGTTATTGTGTGGAATGTGTATGAATGCATCAGCTGGTAGGAATCACAATATGTATTTTAGTAAATCATCCTTGTAACATTTCGTAAAGGTTTTAAAGAAATAATGTGATTCATCCATTTTATTAGGAATTTCAATCAAGATGTTGTTTCTCCTTTAATGAATCAACCAGTTTTTTGGGGTTTAAAATACTTTCACTTATAGGCTGAACTTTATGTCTAGTTATTTGTCATAATTAAAAACATGTATCCATAAGATAAAATATCAAAATTGGAAGTAAGTCTCAATTTTTTTCACATGCCATCTGGATGAGATCATTAAGATCCATGATTTGTCCAATCTCATCGATCCTAATCAGGCAAATATAATTTCGAATAAATGATTGATTGGCTTAATTATAATGTAAATAAAACCTTGAAAGGACTTAGAGTACTGAGCTATTTGTAAAATGTATCTGTGTTTCTCTTGTTCGATGCAAGGCATCATGAATACATGTTAATGTAATAGTTAATCAATTACATCTGCTCTTAGTGGAAAACAACATATTATTAAAGTTATTAGAGTAACTAGGAGTTGAGAGTATATTTTTAAGAATTGCCACATATTTACATTACTTTGGTTCAGGTCATTCCTTGTCATACCTTTGTTCTAAAGCCTCTAAGAGTTTTGTTCTAATTTCAAAAAATGTCATTGTTTTAGGCAATAATACAGTCCAATTTTTCAATTCCATAGAATTTGAAAATATCAACATCTTAAATCTTCAATTTCACTTATATATGTTCCTTTCAATAATTCAGATAATAATTTGGGATCATGGGATGGGTCACATTGGAAAAAATCCTATTTATGCTCAATATTCTTTGATGCCAAGCATTTCAAACTTTAAGTCAGTTTATTTTAATATTAACTCAAACATCACCATTTGCCCCAAAAATTTATTTGAACTTTTAACTACTGTACATGCTAACCTTTTGAAATTTACCTTTACCAAATTTATGAAAAACGTTCTTAGTTTAAACAAGAGGCATGTTCCCATAGCGATTAAATAAAGGATACAATTCTTCCTGTAGGATATAAGGTTCACGGATGGTCCCATTGATATGTACGTATTCTATTATTGATATAATACAAAGTCATTATTTTAAAATATTTTCTTATGCTAGCGATTTAGTTCTCATTATTCTATGGATTTTCTGGAGCCAATGCCTTTGGTTCTTTGCACTCTAGACAAGCCATGAAGAAATCATTAAAGTCATTATTAGGGAAGACATCAATTCCACCATTAGGTATTTTCCAGCATTGATCCTTGTAGTTCTCCAGTGTTATATCCTGTCCAAAATCAGTTGTGAGTGTTCCCTCATCTTCTGCAGTAACAACATCAGCTATGTGACTCTTTAGGGTGGCTGGAAATGGTATGATATCCATTTTGTAAGTTGCCAAATGCAACATGGAAATGATTATGCTGATATAACAGCCCATTTTACTGTTTTATTGCGTCAGTAGAACCCCAAAAATAAAAAATCAGGAGACCATTGTGCAATAATATATGGAAAAGTATATTCATATTGTACATGAATGACATTTGTCTGTTTAGATTATTTCGTATTTTGTGCAATAAGCATGTGCCCTCTAATTTAAAGAATTTCAACCATGTAATCTTTTTGAAAATACTATGGCAGTGAAGCATCAAAATATAAGAGGCCACATACTTTATTAGCAAAACTAGAAGCAATCCAAGATAAACAAATGTCATTTATGTACAATGGGAATATATTTTTCCATATATTATTGCATAATGATCTTTTGATTTCTTATTTTTTAGGTTTTACTGTTGCAATAAAACAGTGAAATGGGCTGTAGTTGGTTACTTTTTATAGTGTTTTCTTCAGTGATTGATCATGTTTGCTCTAATTTTTCATGTGGTCAGTGTTGGTACAAAAACCTTTGTGAATACAAGCTAAATTTCTTAAGTGCCTCTGCTGCCTAATGCCTTATATGTCAGATGAAATGTTATTTTCAAACTACATACCAATGAAGCCAGCATCTGCGCCCATGTCATCATTCAGGATGTGTATGTTCAGTCCCGCTCCTGGCTTGGAGATTTCAATATTGATATCAGGTTTCATTGATTCATTGTTAGGAAAGCGATAGATAACCATTTTTCTATCGCCAATGTTGACAAATGTATTTCCAATCTAAAATGTTGAAATAGGATATAGAGTTCTTAGTATTCATCCATTCCCACATTTCTTCCTTTCTCCAAGTTTAACCTCGTATGCACAGACACATACACAGAGTAGTGTGCATGTTTCTTTTTTTGATCATTGAATATGTTAAGCTGAATCTGCAGGTCTCTCAAAAATCATACGTATATCTACAGGCTAATGATCCTGTGCAATATACCTAATACTTGCATAATGCAATATAGAAACAGAGAAAATAATTTTGAGATTAGTTACCTCAAAACTTTCATCTTTGGCCCATTTCAGTTTAGTACTACTTATGTCCCCTGTATTGTTGTGAACCTCGATGTTATTTTTATTGGTGATGATATTAATCTCAGGAGATAAGTAGGCAACATCTTGGATCCATTTCATCTGACCAGGTTCCTTACGATGTTCATTTTTATCAGCATCGAAATCAACATTTAGTATGACATCTACATGTATATACAAAGTAATACAGTTTTTGTGCTTGTTAGTTGCTTTTTACAACATTTTGACTTTGCTATTGATTTGAAACTTTTCACAAGGAAATTAAACAAAAAAAGTTCCAGATTGCTGACGGGATGATTTTGAATCATCATTTTGACTATTTCACTTTACATAAAGAACTAAAGTTCTTTGATTTATACGAATTCATTTAGATTACTGTCGTTATCCTGTAAAATTGGGTTTATGGGAGTTAAATTGTGTTATGTACCTAAGTCTGGTCTGTGGTAGAGGGACAGAATATCATTCAAGCCCTCTTTAGTGTCAATGCACAGTTTGATTTCACCAAACATCAATGTCAGGTGCGGGTCTCCAAATAAGGAGACATACTCCAATTCTAAAAGAATATGATTACATATGATTGATAGTATAAATGGATAAGAAGACATACATGATGCGAAATATTTTGCAAATATTATGCACCATTCAAAGGTTTGTGTGAGACCCCCCCCCCCTCCCCCTCACAGGGAGGATCAGGAATTTGAAGCAGTATTGTCCCAGGGATTTCATTCTGGGAGTATGAATTTTTGAAATTTGACCACCTATTGTTGTTCCCAGGTAGAGGGGAAATTGACTCACTAGGTTTCTCTCAGGGTAGGGAATTTGACAGCTCCTTTATTATTTTGTTTGGGGAGACAATGCAAATCTTTGTTGGTGTATCAGTGAATGGAATTGCAATTGTTGGTTTTACCAGAGGTTTTCTGATGACCCAGTAGACAATTAATTCTTTTTGAAAAATATCTTACCTCTAAAGCCAGGAAATGTTGTAAATATTGTGAATTTATTATATGCATCATACGCCTGATTGAAGAAGATAGATAGGTCCTCAATTGTGTCTTCATACATAAGTTCAAACTGAATATCCATTCTGCAAATACAACAACATCAATTTGAAGAATTGTTGGCTTAATATTTTTTTGCTGCAGAGCTGTTCATTATGCGCAAGTTTCATTTTATACATAGTGCAGTGCCATATAAGACCTGGTGCTGGATAAGTGACCAGTCAGAAATTGTTTCAAAGTCTACTGTCAAATTGGGGGTATTGAGTTGAGTGATTTCGCTGACCTTGGTAATACTTTTACGATAATATTTTGGCCAGATTTATCGATCCTCAGCTAAAGATTTTCGTACCTTTTATTTACTTAAGGTTTGTGTTTGTCCTATATCTGACTAGGAGAAATAATTTTTATATGATGTAATTAGTAATTTAAATACCCATAACAACTAATTGCCTCTGAAGTAATATTGACCTTGAATTTGACTACATTTGATCTTGACCTTGAATGACCTTCATTGTACTTACCCTCTTCGAGTTCTGATCACTTCAAGGTTCTGGTATCCATTTATTTGACCCGGATAATTCACTTGTAACCAGTTAAGCCAGTCCGCCATCTGAAGTATTTATTATTGAGCAGTAGGCATGTGTACTGTACTGTACTGTACTGTATTGTTCTGAACTGTACTGTACTGTACTGCTCTGATACAATACTATACAATACTAATATAAATGTGAAAATATAAATTTTTATCATTGATATTTATAATGATGAAAATAACATAAAAATTAATGCAGAAACTCCTTCAACTGAAAAGTTTAAGCAATGTTTGATGTGAGAACTAATGATTTTTTACCTCTGCCTCGATATCTTCTATTGTGACTGGTTTCGATCTGCTGATTCGTAATATGGTTTGAAAGTTTTTTGCCACTAAAAATGTGATGATGTTATATTAAAAGAATAGTTTATACATTTTAATATTATATATTTAATATTATAGACGCTGTAAACAGTTTGAATATAGACTACTATATTATACTATACACTTTATATACATTTATATTTAAAAAATCATGTCAAATATAAATATTTCTTGGTATTATGAGCCTTTAGTAGTCATTGAGTTCGATGATTATTATAACACCATACCCACATCATGTCAATATCTAACAACTTACAATAAAGTGCAGACGTCAGTCCAACACATAGTTGTAAAACGAGGATCACTATGACAACCCTCATCCTGGCACCTTAACAATGAAAAAAGAAAAGTGTTGATCATTCATTGTGTTGATTTATTGAAAGAAATGATTTATTTGTGTGCTTTTTGGGTCTTGATACATCTGACTTCTGAAGTCTCTTGCTTGTGTTCCCGTCCATCCATAGCACTTTTCTGACATTATATAGCTGTTGAGTTAAGTTATCATTGAAATGATGCATAGCAGTGTTCACTTCATGAAGCTTTGTCATGTAAGACACTACAGCAAAACTTTAAGAGATATTTGACAAAAAACTTAAAACAACAACTGTACAGTAACATTCCGTTCTGTCTATTGTTTTTCCTATTATAAACTTGAATTAATAAAAAATCAAATATTAAATTTATCGAAGTATATTTACCCCACTCTGCAGCGCTGGTGTTGAATGGAATGCTGACTTCAATTCCAGGGAACTAATGCAATGTGTGACCATTTTCCTAATCAAATATTCTTTTCAGTTTTATTTATTGAAATGCTAGCATCTGTTATAAGGGGTCTTCTCTGAACTGCGAGATGATTGTGAAAAAGAATGAACATCAATGTTGAAATTTACGATTTTACTTGGAATAAGATATGAATTTTTTTAGAAATTAGACATATTGAGTATTGAGGAATGATATGAACTGAGAATATTCTTACATTGAAACAGTTTTTGTAAAAGTTGCTGGCTGTCTATGATTTTGTCTTTTATACTCTACAATATTTTCCTTGAACTATAACCAGTTAAAAAACATGAAAATATAAGATCACAATACTTTTATTAATAATTTTATAAATAGTACATGTAAACTTTGTAATTGCTCCCTGTTTTGAATAAATCGCATATGTCGCATTTAGTATCAATATGTAGCATTATATTTGTTTTCTAAAGAAAGAGAAGCTCAAAGACGACGTGAAAAACAGTTTCAAATGACTGCGTAAACGTGCAAGGAGTCAGATTTTTATAATTGAAAATGTTATTTTAAAATTGCCTCAATGTAACATATTTGCATTTTTAATTGAATATATTTCAATGGTTTTATATTGATGTAGGTGGTAACAAATGGAAATTGTTATTTGCTAAGTAAGGAAAACTGTTAAAAGATCATTTGATCTAGTTTTTTGGTGTGATGATTTTGTGAGAAAAGTATTAATCCATCTGTTCCAAAAATCACTGTTTACAACTCAAGGTAGATTGATTTTTCTAACAAATTCAAAATATTCTTGTCTGTAAGCTTAAATATTTAGAGTTCAAATAAAAAATGTGTTATATTTTGTATTATACAGTGTAGACTGCAGAATTTGTACATGTACAATCAAATCAACTTTGTACAATTGTCAAGTTTAAATAAAGGATAGGGTCAGATCGAGGCAGCATTGATTATTTGAATGTTTTCCGAGTACACATTCTGCAAAATAAGATTTTGATTAATTCAGATCAAATTGAAACAATTCTGAGATTTTGCAATAACATGAATACAGTCATTCTCTGCAGTGCGAGATTGTTTGCTACAGACAGTTGTGAAACAGGTCACCTCCTCCCTCAGAAATAGGCCTTCATATCCAACCTAATATTTTAGAAAAAAATGTTTGGAAAAATTTGGCCCAAATTTCAGAAAAAAACTGGGCTAACATTTTGAAATGGCCTTCAATTCTACTTATTATCTGGAGAATACAATTATTTCTTTTTACCCATATTATATAGCATCTTATCATAAAATATCATCTGTGTATATATTGTAAATAATACTTAAATGTTTTTAATTAAGATTCTAATATAGTATCCAGTAATCAAATGTTATCAGTTCTTGAATAGACCAACAGCAAATGCAATTCCTAGAGCTTAATATACTATATGCTAAAAAGCAAACAGAAAGAAACAGTGGTTATGCAGAATAGGCACATTCTTGGCATTGCATTTGTTAGGAGGTAGACTTCATCTACAAATATCACTATCTACATATATTATACAAATCCCAAAAATGTGCAATTGTCCCACGTAAATGACTGGAAGGAATACTTCAGATTGAGGTATTTTTTGCCTGTATAAACGACTGGTTATATGTTTTTTATTATCACATTTGACCTTTGTAAATATATAATAACTTATTTTGTTAAGTGTATGTTTAATGAATGATTCAAACAACTAGATTTGCTTAATGTTACAAAATATTTCATGATCCATTTGGTAGGAATGTTAACTCAATGCATTGATAGATGTCGCCTTGTATGGTGTTACTTTGGAACCTGGACTTTTGATTCGCAAGGTTTGAGCCAGAAGGTTGAAGAATGACTTTGAATGAGTATTTTCACGGCTACAGACAAAAACAAATCTAAAGATGGTTAGATTGATAAGATATCTGTGTCAGAGATTAAACCTGTACTTAGGGTTAAGATAACAAATTAAGATCATGAGTTTTTTCCTTTCAGTAAGGCATTTTAACTATGGAGGTCTTCTAAATTTGAAACAAATGCGATTTTGAATCATCTTTCAGGTGTAGTCTTTGATTACAATTGTTGTCATGGTGACTATGGAATGTTTTCAAATTCCTTCAAAAGTTCTTCAAGAATTTTTTTCAAATACCTTTGATGTGCATAATTCAGCGTTTCATATTTTCCTTAGTATTTTTTCATTGTATATGTTACACCTTCATTGTGTTAATACAAATCCATTGTGAGGAATGTTCTCCCTTTAGATTTACGATACAGATATTTCAGTAATCCCTTTTACCAATATATGGCCGATAGAAAATAATTATTTGCAAGAGTTCTACATTTGTAGGTGGTTAGTAGAATATTAGTAGAACATTTCAGCAACATATATAACCTTGCTAATCTTTCAAAAACACATATGTTGAACATCAGTACATTTTAGAGAATCTTTCGATACACTTATAAAATTTGATATTGATATTTTAGTAAAAATACAGTAAACCTCTTCAGAAAACTTCAAGATACCACCTCCCAAACTTATAGATAAAAGTTTTGGTTGTATCAAGAATTTGACAGGTCTTACTGTTCACTGATTGCCAAGGTGGAAACTTGCCTCAAAAAATCAACATTGAATAATGAGAAGCTATCAAGGTTAAAGAGAATAAATTCTTGTTTTATCTTAAAAATGTTCTTAGCAGATTTACTGGAGAGCAATAAATGTATTTGCTGTTTTTGGAGAAGCATTTATTCTTTTTTACCTTTGAAGATGTAGATAGGGGGTCTCATATGACCCCGTCTGTAGGAGATCAGGATACCTTAAGATCACACTATTTATAACCTATCAAATCACTTTTTTTTGATTTTCTGATCAAACTTTTTTCACTATTTATAACCTATCAAATCATTTTTTTTATTTTCTGATCAAACTTTTTTCAGTCATAATTTTTTGTTACTACATCATATATGAAACTGAAATAGAGATTTGATTCATTGGAATAATGTTTCAAGGAACTTAACACAGAATTACTTATTTTAGAAAAGTGTATTTTGAGAATGAGAGCCATGCAATGCCCCTAGTGGCCTCAAAGAAGGTCATGTAAGAGTTATCTTGTACAGAATGTCAGAGACACTATTAGCCCATCCTGTACCAATTTGTTCTAAGATTCGTACCTGAATTTCACTTTGTTTATTCAACACCACTTTACTATTATGTATTTGTCACTTACATGTATTTTAATGCATTTTAGCAAGAACTGAAGACTCTACTGTTATAGCATTTTAATTATTGTAAGATGTATCTGAATTTTATGCAGTAATGTACTTGTTGTTGTTGTAGTATTGTATTTGTTTAATATTATATTAGGTGTATTATTGTAATTGTATTTTATATAGAATATCGCTGTAAATACCTCTGTAATTTATGATATTTATATAATACATGTATTGTACACCTGTTAGTGTACCTTACATGGGAAACGTTGTTATTATGTAATCTTTCTTGTATGTAATTACTATGCAATTATACAGGTTGTCTAGTCATAATTTATGTAATATAAATGTAGTATTTAAGGCCCAACCTGTATATTTATTTATACTGGTTGAACGTACATGTACTCGTTGTTCTGTAAATCTAAGCTATTCTGTTTCTAAAATCTCACCTTAGTCAGTGCTTTTTACAGTTTACCTCAAAACTTGACCGAGTTGTCTGATTTTTTGCATTTCTTCAATATATAAAGTCTCGTCTATTTATCTATGTGTGATGGTAACAAATGTATTTCTTCATTTCACTCTATTTTGGATGTACAAATACGACCACAGACCACTGCGAGGTTTTATTTTGCGAGATTAATGAGACTCTGTGTGAGCCTGGTTGTAAAGGTTAGCATATAATCCATAGATCACAGACACCCTAAGAATAACTCAAGTCTGCTAATAACTTTACATCAGCTCTATACAAGTTCAAAAATTTTGGAAAATCTTGATTTTTCTACATTTTATTGAATTTATATGTGTAATGTTCCTAGTATATGAGATGGACATTATAAATGAGATGTACAATTTGCCTGAGCTGCCAATATTGGCAGCTCTGGCAGCTATAATTTTTTAAAACTTATTTTGGATGACCTTTGACCCCTTGTAATTTTATCTGATCGTTAAGATAAGAGATTTATGGATGGGGAATCTGCCGGAAAATAGGCCGGTTCCGACAGGTTGCCTCATTGTGATTGGTTCAAGAGTTAATGATGCCAGATCACATGGTGTTCAGGTACCAAATACGGAATAAGTCCCACCCAGGTATTACACTAAGTATGATTTAGACAAGAAGCGAATACTCAAAAGCCTTTGAATGCACATTCCACGTCAGTAAAGCCGACGTTTATGAGTATTATGAAGTGAATATTGCAGAGCATGCGGTTATTTACTGCATCAACTTTGAACATGGTACTTGAGGAATTACCTTGGATAACACACTTTAGGAAGAATGTACAGTCTGTTTTCTCGATGTAAGTTTCATATTGTTTCACAGCAAAAGGGAAATGTGTGACATAAATCTGTTATCTGGAGGGCATATTCAGGGAAGCAGGGTTCAACACTGAGATTCAGAACATATTTGCCACAATTTACCAAGTCAGCAATCAGCCCATTGCCCAAATGGCAACCATTTCCAATTTCATTGGCAAGAGATGGCAACCATTTCAAATTCCATTGGCAAGAGCAAAAGTGATTACCATTTGCAATACGGCATCTGAGAATTCTGCATATAAGGCTAAATGGTCCAGTCAGTGCAACCTATTTAGCCTTCCTGATGCTTGTTCTGGTATTCAAACCTGAAGTTATATCATAAGATGGCAGACAGAAACACATGTTAGCTATCAAGAGTTGTTAATCGGTTCTTACATGGGTATCAATAAGCTAATGAAGTACCATGTTCAACACATTCGGAATATTTGTACCTTTCAAGCACTTGTATAAGCTAGAGCATATAATGAAGCACTGATCCAGATTTATATTGTATCTATTCTTGTAATTCTGTCGTCCTTCCTGGAATATTATTGCTAGTTATAAGTGCCCCTCATTTATTACATTAATATATTGTGTCATATATAAAGGAAAAAACTGGTAAGGTTGAGCCAATCAAATCTTTCAAAATTAGCTCGAAATCCCAGGATATTTTGAACATTTGATGTTAAAATGCAAAGTATTGTTGTTTTTACTTTTTCAATCGTAAGAAATTTATATTTGTTGTATGATGTCTCTGACAATCCTGACAATTAGAGCTACACTGTAGCTCCAATATGAGCCATTGAAGCTCAAATAAGACCCTCTGAAGCTCAAGTAAGACCCTCTGAATCTCAAATTTGAAGCTCAAATATCTCATCTACTGCAGATATACCTAAACCTCGAATGCAAATGCCTAAGAACTTCCAGACAATGTACTTTAAATGAAGCCTACATGCTTTTTGTTTTGTTCTTTTAGTGACTTATGAATGTGTTAGACTTGCTGCGTCTATGTTATTTCAGCTAGAATGTATGTTTACTTTCGCCAAGTGGTATTTCCTAAAGGGAATGAAGATGTACAATACATAATATGGGAACATCTTTTAGCATTCTCAAGTTCTTGGCTCTTGAGCCATTTGTACCCATGCAAAAATATCTACTGATTGCGATTTCCTTAAAAAATCAAAATGAGTTATCTTAAAATGTTTGTATTTCATTTTGAGGATTTGGAATGCTACATCAATTTAATCCATCTACAGTTCATGGAATTTGCACTGTTTTACATTTTATTTTGCATCTAAAACATGACCACCTGAATTTACAATGATGGGTCAAAGACCTTGGAATCGTATTGATGTAAGAGGGAATACATAGTCTCTGGTTTAACCTTTTACATTGTTCATATATTCATCATACAAAAATGTGGTTTCTCAGATGCAACTATTTATTCTTGGTGGTACTTGTAGAAAAAACAAATCCACGGCTACTTGGCTACTTAGAAGAAGCCGTTAGAAGAAGCTAGTTATCTTATTTTTATAGGGTACATCACATTACTGGGAGAAGGTCAAATAGATGTTGTTTTGGGAATAAAAAACAAAGTGATTTGAAATGTAAATAGTCTATAGGAGGGAAAGCAGTTTTGGTTTAGTTAAGCCAATGTAAATGCCAAAAATAAACTTAGTTAATTAAAGAAGAATTTCATTTTCATTCATTTCATTCATTTATTTTCAAACATCAGGTGAAACATACAGATAAGGCGGATGACACCCTAATGGGCATATTATCCGCACAGAGAAGATGAACATGACAAGCAGTGTTGTGTAAATTATGTATCTCCAGCCTCGCACTCCCCACCCCCATCCCCCACCCGTCATTACACTATTCCATTTGCTCTCATATACATGTACATGTATAAAGAAAATAACTAGCCAAATATATTTACAAAATGACTGCATATTGTGAACTGTAAGGTTTTTAAGATGGTTCTTGAATATAAATGTTTTAGTATAAATGAATTGTTTTGTATGTTTTTTCACTTTTATTCACATTTTTGTATTTTTCACAATCATGTTAATTTCACATACAGTGTATCTGTATTCTTAATTTTTCACATTTCTATGTTCCAGTGCTCGGTGGATTGTGGTAAGGGCAAGAAGTATCGTCAGGTGAAATGTGTTGATAAAAAGGGGAACGAACTAAGTGCAGATAATTGTCCAGAGAAACGACCCAAGACGACGCGACGCTGCCGCGCTAGAGAGAAATGCCCACATTGGCACATTGGGCATTGGACGAAGGTAATCTCACATGATATGATATGTTTTTTCATATTTCTCTTTTCAGATATTTTTTCCTCGAGGCTTCTTGTTTACTGTACTGTAAAACTGGAATATTGTAAACAATTATTTCACTATTCCCAACTTCACCATTTCTCATTTTCTACATCTGAAATATGACTTAATATTTAAATAATGTTTCTTTATAATTCTTATTCATTTCTGATATCTCTTATACATTCTTAATCTATTCCAGTGTTCGGTGACATGTGACACAGGGTCTAAGATGCGTAGGGTCTTCTGTGTACAGGGAAATTCCAAGCGACCAGACTCAGATTGCCATGACAAACACAAGCCTAAACCTCAAGTTATTGACTCATGTTGGTCCCAGAATTGCACAGAATACATATGGAAGAAGACAAAATGGTCACAGGTAAACTTTGAATGTGTTTGGTGTGTTTTATATAATTACATACACTAAACTGGTCATAGCTGGGTTGTTTTGTATCAGTAAGCATGTAAATGTTGCTTCCATGAAACTTGAAATACATCGGGATGGTCAGATAAAATGATTTTAATTTAATTTTGTTAAAACACAAATGAAGATTCAATTTCATTTGATTTTGATTTCATTTGAGTTACATATCTCACACGGACACCATTGGGCATACACGTGTGGAAGGATAATGTAACTTACCAAATTGCTTTTAGTGTTAATATCTATGTACTTTATAATTGAGGGTTTGTAACAATATTTAAAAGCAAATATAACAAGGCTGCCACCTATTAGAAGTCACTTCAGTCATTACTTTCTACATTTATGATCAAAACATGCATGTTTGCATATAATAAAGAGGTTGCTATGTAGTTGAATAAAGCTGAATAAATAGATGTCAGCTCTTGTTTTGTTTATTTGTTTTGGCTGGGATAGAGTGCCATAAGGCTTCAATTATAAAAACTAGCAAAAGCTGATTGGAGCCTATGAACTTTCTCTAATGGCCTTCAGGACCGTCAATAGATGGCGAAAAATTCAGTAGGTTTAATAGCATACTTTAACATGTAAAAAATGTTCCAAAAATCTCCCAAGATAAATTTTATTGAAAATATCCAAAACTTCTAGTTTTGAATCTTAAAACATGTTTGTAAATAATGATGAAGGAAAATATGATATTTCTTTGATATATGTAGAGAATTTGAAGCTTCAAAACAGCAATATTTACACATACACCAATGGGCCAGTTGTGGAGAACAACCTAGTAGTTAACTGCCATCTATATGAGTCCTGGCTCCCATTCAATTGATTAGTAGAGAACTCATATAAGGGATATACATGTGAAAACAGTGAGATGATTAGAGATATGACGATAATGCTCTCATACTCTTCCTATCAGATAAAGGACATGTTACATTGACTCATGCAGGGAAATGAAAATAATTAAAGTTCAAAGCTCTTATTTTAGTGCATGGATCTATGAAATTCTGCCTTCAAATTGTGAAATTGACATTGGATAATTTCTTTTATTCATTTTTTAATTTTAGTGTTCTCGAACATGTGGTTTTGGGCGTAAACAGAGAGATGTGCGCTGTTATGATGTTCTAACACAACAGGAAGTTAGTGGTGCTCTCTGTGAGGAGAAAGTGAAACCAAAGAGTTCCCGCAGATGTAGCAGTATGCCATGCCCTTATAATTGGCATACTTTGGAATGGTCTAAGGTAAATGGTTGTTTTAAAGGATACTAGTATCCTATCATTTTCAAGGCAAGCTTACAGTTTTCCAGTAAATCAAGTCCGTCATTCACCAGATAAACACATATCTAAAGGACGAAATATGTTAAATGTATTTACAAATTGTCGTACTAAGGTCACCTTAAAGATTAATTCTGTGGATCTAAACTATTGATAAATCATTGTGGCTTTTCTTGGTGAAATATGTATTGTTATCGCACCCTGGGATGCTGTTTTTTTTTATCTAATCAAATTCAACTTTTATATTACTTCTGTCCCCAGTGTTCCACATCATGTGACGAGGGGGTGATGAAGCGTGTAGTGGAGTGCCGCGCGGTGACAAAGGAGGGCTGGATAATCCCAGGTCACATTCCAGGGAAGTGTATGGATACAGAAAAACCTCCAACAGTGCGTTACTGTAACCTAGGATATTGTAACGCACTCTTTCACTGGCACATGGCACCATGGTCTCAGGTTAGTAACACTTTGTTACATTCTTGTCATCACTAAGAAGGTTACAGTCGCCATGTTTTGTCTGGTGTCTCGAAAGATTTAGCAGTCAAATATTATTGTTATGTCACCTCTAGAAGTGGTCACTTCTTAGTCTCCAACTTATTTGTGGATGGGTTTTTTGACAGTTGATGTTTCATGGTCGGCAGTGGGCATCTGTAAGCAATGGCACATGGTGACATTTTGCATGTTAATGCCTTGTTTTATTGTTCAGATCATTTGCAATAACCATGTATATCATACCAGGTGTCAACAATTTTATTGCATTAATTGTTTCAAAATATTTTGCTTGTATATTGATATTGACTTAGCAACAGATGGAAAAACAATGCTACAATTCATTGATAAGTAAAAAAAGATATATACTGAATAAACTCTAAATAATCTTGCTCATATCTTCTATTCACTCTTAATTAATTTGCTAATATCTTCTATTCAGTGCTCTCAGACATGTGGTGTAGGGCACCAGAGACGGCATGTCACATGTGTCGACTTGCAAGGCAAGAAACATTCCAGACGCAACTGTGTACAGGCCAACAAGCCTAAAAATTCCAGAACATGTCAGTTAGCACCATGTAAGTATTGGATTAATTGCAATGCCAATCGAACATCTCTTTAACCTCTTGAACTCCTAGAGTGAGGGATATATCAGTCACAGAATTTCTCACTTAAATTGTAGTTTAATAACTTTAATAACTTTTGTATATTTTGTATGTCTTAAAAAGTGTAGTTTTTGGCCATTGCTTAAGATAAAAATATGGCAAAAGTAAGAGTAACTTGTACATAGTTGTTTTTACTGCGATTTTTCTTTTCATAAAATATACAATAACAGACTATTATAGATACATGTAACTCGTAAAGTATGCATATTGCATGAACAATTTCATTTATCCCTACAAAAAACATATGCAAAACCTATTCAGCAGTATTACTATGCTAATTTTGCAGGCTATGCCAAGACATGCAAGGAAATGAAAAGAATCTCAGCCATCAAGATGGATGGTGACTATAATCTAGTGGTCCAAGGGCAGTTTCTTAAGGTTTACTGCCATGAGATGAGACGATCTCATCCAAAAGAATACCTCACCCTTTCTTCAGGGGAGACTGAAAATTTTTCAGAGATCTATGATAAAAGGTGAGAAGATGAAGGAGTGATGAATCTTCCTGCGAAAAATAAAGTAATTTTCTTCATATCAAACCCCATTGGTATAATTCAGGAAAGGAAATTCACTAGTGTGAAAAATTTAGAATATCTAAATTTTAAGAATGTTTAATTTGGATCAGCAGAATTTAAACTGATAGGATGAAAGAAGTGTGTGAACAGAATGACTTCACTTGAATTAAACTCCATATTCATGTTATCATTTTGTTTTTTAAGATTATTTGAGCCAAGTACTTGCCCAGACAATGGCACTAGGAACGCAGCTTGCCATTGTGCCAGAGAGATCTACCAACAGTCAGGATTCACAGCATTCAACAAGATTAGGATAAATATTACCTCACTACAAGTCATAGGTATGGGCATATTTTCAAATATTTTTACGAATAATAATGTCCTTAAAGTTTTTATCACTTTTTGATTATCCACATTTTCTTTCAGAATTCAACAAATGTATTATACTAAACTGAACAATTTAACAAAAAAGTGAAATGAATAAAAGAAATGAATTTTTTTATTGAAATGTTGAAGTTTAGTGTTGAACACTTCGAGGTTATCCCACATGTATATAAGGTTCAGCATATAGGGATTATACCAAAGATATGTTTTTTGCTGAATTCAGTTTTCTCACGAAAATTTAAATTTTATTCTTCCTCAAAAATTTGTTTTTTATTTTCCAATGCCAGACAGATGTAGAGTGTATAATATGTCGTCTGTTAACAATTCTGAAACCAGCTTTTTATCTTACAAATACGTGTAGGGGATAAATCAGATCATAGCAGATATAATATGTAAGGTGCATGAATTTTTCTGTTTTAGGTGATGACTTTACATTCAGCTATAGTAAAGGTGCCAACCAGATACCATTTGGTACAGCAGGAGACTGCTATAGTGATCGGGATTGTCCCCAGGTGAATATACTACTTTCATATAATATTATCCCATGGATATTGAATATATACCTGGGGATAACAACACAAGATAATTTTGACTGGTAGATATGGTTGATATTCACTCATGGATGAAAATGATATCCTCAAAAATCATAGGATATGCTGTATGGTTGTGTCAATAAACTTTATATGATTTTGTCTAACCACCAAGTGTGATTTTGTAATTTCAGGGTCGTTTCCGTATGAACCTGATGGGCACAGGCCTCTATGTGTCCAAGCAAACTGATTGGGTGTCAGAGGGCCACAGTACAGTTCAAAGGATATACAAGTCAGATGTAAGTACTCCATGCTCCCTCAGTGGAGAAATGCATACTAGTAAAATATAAGTACCATATGCTCCCTCAGTGGAGAGGGGGTTAATTACTGGGATAAATGTAAGTCATTGGGAGGGGGTAGGGGGTATTAATGTTCCTTCCTGAAACTAGCGTATCACTTTCACTACATTTCCAGATTTGGCAAGATCTTCTAGAGAGAGATCCTTAAAATACCCTGTAATTGTACATGGACATAAACCTTGTACCTTTTTATGAAAATAATCATGCTGTAGACAGAAATGTTAGCAAATAATCTCCAGATGTACCTACATTTGACTTAATCATGAGAATTTAATAATTTTATTTGTAAGAATTACTAAGTGTGCATCTTTCTTTGCATAAGTTGCAATTTTCAAGTATTTTGTACATATCTATTATTTATCAGCAACATGTTAATCCTAACTTTCAATAATCTTATTAACATGCACAAGAGGAGTACATGTACCTAAATGTTTACCCAGTCTTAAAATTACACATGGCCTGAAATACAAGAGAAAATATTAGTATATCCAAAGAGTAAGGAACACTGAAATATAGACGACACCCTAAATTCTATAACAAAATAATGCCTCAAAGTAGGAAACATCATTCTTTAGAGCAAAATGGTATAATGGGATATTACAATTTTTCTATTTGTTGCAGCAAAACAACCGTATAGATGGCGTGTGTGGAGGGTTCTGTGGCACTTGTTCCCCATACAAACATAAAGGCATTCAATTACAGCTCATGCCAGGTAACTAATCCCCCATAAAGACTAAGATATACAATTAGAATATAGCAACTCATTGGTTCTATAGAATATCATAGCTTATAAGCCTTGAAGTCAAAGTTCTCTTAGAAAATTAAAAGTGACTTATTCTGTGCATTATGTCAATTAAGTATACAGTTTATCAGATATAAGATATCATATAACTTTGATGAAAACCTTGAAAAACAAGTTTTTAATCCTTCTGTCAAAATACAAAAGTAGTCAAATTCCAAAGTCTCTTTACTTTTGTTAATTCAAGGTTTAATCATGTTTTTGTTGAAAACTCATTCAAGAATAACATGCAAGGAAAATGTCTGATCAAGAATTTGAATACCCTCTTTTATTATCTCTCGTATATTGAATTGACAGGCCCGTACCCAGGATTTGTCGCTCGAACCCATCAAACCACCCCTGGCTATGGGCCTGATTGATATCGTTTATTTTTTCTTATTATTTATGTATTATTAATATAGATAAGTATTGAATACTGTTATTACAAGTACTATTATTTTTATATTGTTATTTTTTAATTTTAGACTGACAGCATTAGCACATTCACTACAGCACCTGCCAATAGGGCGGCGCCACCGCTTCCCGTCATGATTGCATATTTAGCGACAACTTCCAGTTGCGTTACCTCAAGATATGCAAATAATGGAATTTCTTAGCCAGTAAATAAAAACAGTTGAACGAGTTGATAGAAATTTAGGTCTGACCTTATTGGCCAGTTTGACTAATTGTCAAAAAAATATGACATATGGAAAACCAGACATTAGAACATTACAAAATGACGAATGCTGGTTTCTGTATGGAGACCACTAACTAGCTGGTCTTATTCAGGATTCCATTCACAACACTGCCATGTTGAGAAAGAGTTCTGTAACCATAGCAACACATAACACATATTGTTACTGAGGAGGTTTCTGTAACATAGAAATAAATGACAACCCAGTTACAATGGAATTAACTAGCACTTTCACTGCCAGGCTATTTAGCTGAAAGTAATTTCTATTCTTTTGGTATTCTATATACATGTATACATGATTGTATGTTCATTGTTGTTAATGTTTGTATGTATGTAATGTACATTGTTCTTGATGTTTGTAATATGTACATTGTTATTAATGTACATTTTTACCGAGACACATTATTGTGTGAATTGGACACACTACCACAATATTAGTGGACCAATGTTTTTCATACTGAGATTTTTTAAAACTGAAATTTAGAAGTTCTTATTAATGTATTGGTGGTTTACTAATGTCTGTTTGTATTTATTACGAAGGATCTTTTAGAGAGTTCAACTTTAAAACGTCTCTCCCAGGTATTACCATGGAAACAGGAACATGTGGCACATCCATTGTGGTAATAATTATGACACAGCCACTGTGTCTCCATGGCAATACCTGGTGTGAGATGAATGATCTGAAATATGTATATTAGCTGCCTTGTTATATAAGCTGCCTTGTTATATAAGCTGCCTTGTTATTTATTGCTGAGTAAGGTATTCACATTAACAGTTCATCAAGTGTTTGGTACAATCTTGCCGAGTTTGAGCATATTGATGAATGATGATGTTGTCATACAATCCATCTTACATTACATTCTCCAGGTGCAACATGAGTTGTTGAATTTCTCAAACTTTGGATCAGTACACTCATTAGTTTAGTGTGTACACTCATTAGTGTGAACACTCACTAGTGTAAAAACCATTGACAGTTGGAATATCATGGAAAAATACTTTATTATTATGTAGTTGAACTGACTGTTACCTCAATCAGCCATATTACCATGTGGTGGTTTGTCTTCCATATATTGTCCCTTTCTAACTGAATATATACTTACATGTACCTCACTTTACTGTAGATGCTGCCTTTTAAAAGTATGGAGTAGTAGGGTGGATGCATTCTCTTGCCAGTGTTGCCTATGTAACATTAACCTCTTCAATACCAGAGCATATTTCATTTTCCAAGTTTTTGCCATTTAACTATCTTAATACAAAATGTTCATTTTGATGATATCAGTTACCGTAGACCAATCATATTCACTTTATTACATAATTTGTGCAAATGCATTTTGTTTTCCCATTTGCATTTATGACCCATTGTTTTGTTTTCATTATCCAATGAATGAACAGTATGTTAATACCATGTAAATCCGCATTTGAATTCTTGTTGTCAAGTGGAAAGATTCAAGTCATATATAGATCAACTGATTTTACAAATATCATGCCTCAGTCTCTTATATTTCTATGTTGGTACTGCAAGCCTAGGTAACTTTGTTTCTATAGAAATTACTACTCGTAGCATATAAAGTCTCATATTTCAGTTTTATGATCATGACTTTGCACATTGTCACCATTATTTTTTATGTCACCTTGTATGTTGGTATCTGATATATTGACACCAGTTTATCCATTGATACTTCTAATACTGACATCATTAGCTCATCAATGTAGATTATGTTGACACCAGCTACCTACATTTTTGTTTTAAGATAAATTAGATATTTGACAGGTTAATAAACTTAATATGCTCATATATGGAATCATTATGTTTGCAGCTATTTTTGGTATATATATTATGTAACATATTCATCAAGTAATTTCAAGATCTCGACTAAACTAACTGCTTATGGAATATGATTGAGAAATGGCTGCACCTTCTATGACAAATTTTACAGTTACAGTAAAGAACTGTCAAGTGGAACATTTTTGTAAGTGGAACACCTCTGTAAGTGGAACACTTTCAAAAGTCCCTTAATCTTATAAATGAGCCTCTGTAAGTGGAACATCTTCCAAGTGGAAAGCTTTTCAAAGGCGCCAAAGTTGTTCCACTTACACAGGTTTATATTACAACATTTGAATTCTAGTTTTATAATTTCATTAGAACAATTATATTCTACATTACAATTTTGTAATCTAGAGGTGGACATAGTGTGTTTTAGATGATTTGTATTGTATTAGAATTCATGTTGTTGCCATTTCAAGTATATATAATATCTTTGTTAATGTACTGTTAAGATTTTTATCATTTATAAATTTTATAGGTTTTAATGTTTACATGTGTGTTTTCATTGCATGGATTTGTTGTAAATCATGCAATCTCGTGTAGCATACCCATGTCTTACAAACATATTAATTCAAACATTTTAAGATGATTTGGCACATAATAGCGATGCGCTATTTTCTAGATGTTTCAAAATTACAGCATAACAAGCATGAAAATGTCACATTTATTATGGTTATAACAATTAAAATAATATTATATGAAAGAGTCATATGTGCCACCAATCATGCCACCATGGTTAAGTACAATTAATGGTGCCAATGATGTACAAGTCCACAATTGATGCATTTAGTAGTATAGGAATTTTATATAACACGTTTTGTATTCTTACATCGAAGCATTTAAGTATCCATGTGTATTCACAATTTCACTTTTGTACAGTAAACTATATTGTAAATAGATGTAAATTGTTGTAAATTTTGTAAAAAGAGATATTTGTATTTTCTAGATCTTGTAGAAGGGAGAATATATCATGTTTGAGATATGTTAAAGGTTATTCAATAAGTATAAGGAAAAATGCTAATTTAGTTTTTCCTTTTGTTTTCATAATATAATTTAATTTCTTAATATGAACTGAAAATATGGGCTGTAAGTTTCATTTATTGTTAATAGAGTTAAAGTTAGAACTCAACATTATTAAAACTCATATTTTCAAATCGTATCAGGAATATAAGAATTATATTGTGTGCTCACAAAGTTCAAAATTAAATCTTAATCCTAATACATATTGAACACCCATTTGCATATTATATGTCTGTGTAAATCTTATAACTGCAGCACCTTTGATATTTATAACTGAAAGACAATATGACAAGATGGAAGTGCTAAGTGCTTACTATATTATGGTCACAATATAAGTTGTTAACCAATTCAGTGACCATAATACAGTAATGTTAAAGGATTATTGTGACCTTAATTCAGTAACTACCATATTGTGTGACAAATGACCCTATAGTGAAGGATGGTGAAGGGGGAACAAATCAATATATCATAACATGACATAATTTGTTCTCAACTTTTTAAAATTTTGTGCAAAATTAGAAAGCTGACTGAAAGTTGACTGCAAAAAATGGTGACCAAAGTATAATTACCACCTTAACATTACATGGTCACAATATGTGATAGTTACTTTACCATGATCATCATATAGTAACCTCGACTGTATTGTGATCATGCTAAAGTGATCTCATTATTATACTTAATGGTCACAATATATGGTAGTTGGTTAACTGTATTATGATCACCATAGTAACCATGTCCTTATTGCAATCATGGTACAATATATGGTAGTTACTTTACCATGATCACCATAGTAACCTCGACCATATCGTGATCATGCTAAAGTATCCTCATTGTTCTACTATGGTCACGATATATGGTAGTTACTTTACCATGATCACCATAGTAATATTGACCGTATTGTGATCATGCTAAAGTGATCTCATTATTATACTTAGTGGTCACAATATATGGTAGTTGATTTACTGTATTATGATCACCATAGTAACCATGACGATCATGCTAAAGTATCCTCATCATTCTACTATGGTCACAATATATGTTAGTTCTGTACTACTGTATGATCACCATAGTAACTGACCATATTATAATCATGCTAAAGTATCCTCATCATTATACTATGGTCACGATATATGGTAGTTCTTTACTATGATCTCCATAGTAACCTAGATCATATTGTGATCATGCTTTAGTATCCTCATCATTTTACTATGGTCACAATATATGGTAGTTAGTAGTTACTGCACAATGTATATTGCATGAGATGTAGTGCAACTTAAGCAAATATCTGTAGTACGTTTCTTATCAGTTTTAGCAAAAAGTGCTGATCATGAATAGCATAGCATATGTTTAAAGTGACGCCAAAGACTGATATGAGCAATTTTTTGCTCTCTAGTAGTCTTTGTTGCCTCTTTAAGTGAAATACCTCAACAAGAAATAAAGTGAGATTACACCACATGCATAATCTGAGAAGTTTTTACTATTATTGTATTTGTCAAATTTTATTGTAAATAATGTACATATTAATAAATTAAACATAGAAATATCCAAAATTAAAAGGTTCACGTACATTGTTTCTACATCCACTATATCTCCGATGTTTAGTTACAGTTCATGGTAAGTCCTCACAGATGTGTGAATATTATAGATATCTATGATAACATGTATATTTTGATACGTGTGATTTTCTAGATTCACTACATTGTAACTATATACATTTTATGGATTCATATTATTAATGCAACCCGTTTGGAAGATTCTCTAAGTCAATCCTATACGTGAAACACTGGGTCTTGGCGTTGATAAACTCCCATAGATCGACTGTCTTTCTCTCCCCACTAGCTCTGAACTTGTGAATGTCTCTACAGATGTTACATCTGAATACGTCCTGACCACCATTAAATACGTCAAAGCTCGAGCGCCAGTTATGGTACTGCGTGTATAAATTAAAATCTGCCCCAACCTTGCGGAGATATTTTCCAAGCACTTCAGCAGTTGCGAATTCTTCTACATGGACGAAGGATCCTGGGGGAAGATGTGCACTGAAGTTCGTCATTTTTCCCCTAACAACAGGGATCATGTTGTGAAGCAAGGCGTTATCCCATACTTTTTCAGTTACGTAATCAACGCAGTCAGAGTTTTCAAATGCCAGATAAAACATGTAGTTTTCACTCAGATAAGAGAGACAGTCAACTCTGTCTTTTGGACAGGAATAATTGCCACACCGCCCATATATATGTACCGGTACATATCTTTGTAAATCTTTCACGAATGACATTCTCATTGAGTTTGCCCCGCAATGGCTGACTAACCATGCCACTAAATGCCGCTTTCGGCTCAACATAGGTGGCGCTGGATCAGGTTTTGGTTTGACATACCCATATGGCCACTGGATGTCTGAATTTAGTTTATAAGTCATTGTTCTATTGATGGCAAACCTTGTGGCTGCTAGATTCGCCGACTGAAAGTACCCCCTAAGCATTGCCTCGCGCGATACAAACACCCATATCTGTGAAGGGGCATGATAGTTGGGTATCTTACCGCTGACAAATTCATAACTTTGACCCCAGAATAAGACCGCATCGGCTTCTGTTATTCTCGTCTTGTTTAAAGTTACCTCGCATCGTGATTCTTCGCAGTCTTTGAACAGTTCCGTACCAATTTGCGGAAATTCATTGAAGTTCCACAATGTCCATATGAGTATTACACAATTTGTGGGGTCATATGGATCAATGTCCTCAACGTCAACATGTCCAGCATCATTAGCAAATGATTCATTCTCTAAGAGCATTTCATTGTCAGACTCGATGACAATCCGATCCTTGTTCTCGTATTTATTGGTCCAACGTTTTGCTTCCAATTCACTTTCAGGCTTTTCGAGGCTATCCTTTACTTCTTTGTCTCTGTCATACTGTAATAGATGCAGAGCTACAATCAGACATCCGAGTAGAAGTATAACGTGCGTTAATCTTGTCATTTTTCCAAGTACTCTTTTCCAAACCATCTATTATTCACGAATATCATAAAATCAAAATAGCATTACTGTTTAAATGGAATAAAAAATGAAATTAGCCTAATTCCCGGAGTGGATATTGAATTAAAGTATATCAGCTACAAACGCTGAAACGATTTCACAAAGATAGAGTCAAAAGCTATCTCTATGGCCAAGGGTCTCGGTACATTAGTAGTTTAATGGCATGCTCACGCCACATGTTACATTGCAATTGATTCTGCATCTAAAGATCATATTTGATGTCAGAAATGTCATCTTGGTCATCATTTAACAAGTAGATCAGAGCGATAAGGCTTAGCAACATGTGTTGTGAAGCATCAGCAGTTGCTTTTAGGTAAACATCAAAAACGAATTCATCGTTATCACCATTCTCCATTCAACGTGATTTCAAAATAATTAATGTACAAATTCTCTAAAGTGTCTCTCATTGTGTCTTATGGTATTCTAGTATAACCGCAATCGAAGCAACCCTGATATTATTTAGGACTTGAAGGAGAAAACGCACACTGTGTCCTCTTAGCCCTGTGTCCCGTTTTGCCCCGAACTCCCCGTTTGAGAGGATCAGACAATGGTTATTTAGATTCAATATCCCTTTTCACTTCTCTGCTGTTTAAATATAAACAGAAATATTAATTTTTGTAATGGAATTCTTTAATTATGTTACTCGAACATTGACTCTGAGTTTTTAATGCATAAATAACACTTAATGAATACTAGCCTGAACCCAAATGAGCATAGGGTATCCCGTTTCCCCCACAAGTAAACTTTTGCCTCGGCAGGAATATTTAACATATTCTTGACAAGAATTCTATAAGTTAGTTTCATGTTTTTGTCCTACATTGACGGGATATTATATAAAACGAAATAGTTTTCCATTGCCTCAGTCTTCCCAATATACACAAGAATATTATAGTTTAATAGCCTAAAAATATACAAATTCAGGACCAGATACAAAGAGCACTTAAACACATAGTGGATAAAAATTGTTAATGTACAAGCACAAATTGATAAAAGTAACAGTACTAAACCTTTTAGAAATGCTCATTTAAAAAATTCAATCAATCGAACGATCGATCGATCAAGAAATAATAAGAATAAACAACAAAAACGTGTACAGATAATTTCCATTATTTATTATCAATTTATTGCTTTAAGAATAAACCATTTTAAATAACCTCATGAATATAACAGGATCTAAAATAGAACCTTGGACTACAACGTAGTTACAAGTAGGTGTGATAATTTTAGGTATGTTGTGCCTCACATTTATTATCAATCTTGATAAGACTTGATTGAAGATGTCTTTTAATTGTTCATATTTCTAAATTTTTCATATTCATAGAATTCACTTCTTTCGTTTAAATAAATGAGATTAATGACAAAGTATCTCTGAGTGTTGGAGCGATCCTTATTTCTACTATCTTTATACATGTATTCAATGTTATTAGGTCCTATTTCAACACGACACGTGTATACCTAACTCAACTATAACTCATTAGGATCCATCATAATTTTCGCTGGGTTCTCATTTTTGAGATCAAGGTCTACTAATTTCTTTGGTGCATTCTGAAGTTGCACTTCAATTTCGTCCCAGTTAGAAACCTTTTCTTTTAACGGTCTAGGGTTTAGTTTCACTATACTAGTAGTTAAAGTAGACGCGTCTATTGCAGGAAGACCCATAAATGAGAACACCTTTGCCATAGTTTCTTCCTTATTTTCTACTAGTTCTTCATATGTGACAAACATCTTGAATGGGTAAGAGTATAAAGCGTTCATGCTTCTCTGCCATTCCAAGCGTTTACCAGTGACGTATTTCACAAACTTTGTCCAGTCAATATAAACAGAGCTCGCGTTGTTCACTGATCCTGAATTGATGACGCCGGTTTCTTGTGCGATCCGTAAAGACACAAATGACTCGATTGTATGTCGTCTGTGTAAGATGATAACACGAGGACTGTGAAGGAACCTCAATAAATCATCAATTACAAGCACTTTACCTAGTTTTGTCACCTGCCAGTTGAGCCAAATGAAGCCTATCATATTATTGAGGAGACACGGTCTTTTGTCCTTGCAGAAAGCTTCCGTTAAGTAATCCAAAATGGGCTTTCTTCCTCGTCCCAATAATCCCAATGGCCCTAGTATCGTCTCTGTTTGTAACAATTCTCCGTATGTCTTTACCATTGGGTGATTGTTCATAAGATGCATTAAGAAATGGGTCCCTGATCTGCCATTAGCGAGTACAACAAAGTTTTTCGATTTCGTCATTGGAACTGCTGTTGTTGTTGGTATTTCCTCTTCTAGCCCCATTGGATTAAGCTCTGCTTCTAAACCAAATCCATTATTTTGAATATTGTAGGAGTTTTCATCTGCAGGATTGGCACCATTCTGGATGTCCGGAAACTCATCTGATTTGAAAGCCTCTAAATTGTCTCTATTCACAGATTCAATTGTGTCCAGATTTTCCCCGTTTTGTATTGACTGTTCTACAGATTCATCAACATCATTGTTCATGTACTTAACATTCTCTTCTTTTTGTTCCGGTTCGTGAATACTAAACTGAGGTCCTGATTCTGACTGAGGGTAGGCGCCGTCTTTAAGGGGCGGATCGTCATTAAATTCGTATTCCTTTCTTGTTACCATTTTAGCATTTATGTAATATAAAAGTACTAGCACAAACGCTATCTCAAAACTCCAGACTATGAACAATCTTAACGCTTTCATTAGGCTTCGCTTGGGAAACATAGTGATTTACGTTTTCTTTTCGAACGTTTAAATCTATTATCTCTGGTAATCATACATCAGTTTAACTATTAATTCCTTCATTTAAAACATGTGTTCCCAGCAAGTTCAAAGAGAGTCAACAGATAAAAAATGTATTGAAGATACCATCAGGTAAATTGAAAGGGTTGAACATGTATGATAAATCAATGCCCAGCGTTATGGATACATCTCTGACTAAATGTGAATTCATTTCAAATATCTCGCTCATCTAATTAACCTTTGATACAACAGTTAACAATGAAACATGAACGTCGGTGTAAAAATATGCACTGATGAAGCTCACCTCGAAAGAAAAAAATAATGGGTAATTACTGCAAGCAAATGATGCATAAGGCATTCTCCCTAAGATTATTATCAACGTGGGGATTCATTTTTCTAGTAGCAATACTTATTTGGATATTAGATAATCGTAAGTAGAAAAGTATGACACAATGTTTCAACAATCAAATGTGTCTATATATCAATTCAGTACAGCTTTATTTTTATGACAATTTATTTAGATTTCTGTTTCTCAATAAGGAAATGTAAAATTCAGTGATATGCCCCTTGATAATTGCTTCTTGGATATCAAGATAATCATAGGAATCGTTTTTGAATAATCAATTAAACATTTCAAATAGCACTGGAATTTGACCATATATAGATTCAATGGTGAATGTTTAATATCGAATTGAATTGAATTTAGGTGACGAACGTATTGGAAGATACGGAACCATCGATGATTACAACAAGATGTTCGACAATATCACCGGTGAGAGTAACCATAATCATACTAGCAAGGTTAAACTAGACGTTCAAAAAGTAAACGAGCTTATCAAGCTTTTTAGACAACACGGGTATATCCCAGACAGTGCTCTTCGTGGAATATATTCTTCGAATGTTCCAATGGCATTTCTAGATCAAACATTAAATGTGAATGTAACTCATAGAGATTTGGTGACAGAAGCTCATATAGAAGAGAAACAAACTAAACCCGCACGCAATGATGTTGCAAATAAACACTTGGCAACGAATGCTATGTCAAAAAGTAAGATTAATAAGACTAGATTAATATGTTTTAATCGTAATAATCAGATTCGTTAAATGATTTTCTCAACTAGTCTTGAAATTTCAAATAAGAAAGGATGTATAAGTTGTTGGTTATTCAGTCCTCTTGACATAATTGTCATCATTAAGTTTGTAATGTACCATTGGAAAGGAATTGTACCATATATAGCTGACCTACGTTGAATTCCCGATTAAGACACATAGTTAGGACTGAGTTTTGATCTCATTTTCCATTGACTGAATTATAATGATGCAAATCTATTTTTCAAAATGACTTTTTGACCTGAAATGTCATTCATTCAAATTTTATATATGATTTTTCAAATCTAATTTTTTGCTTTATTGTAAAAACCAGGCTGAACAAGATGAATGAAATAACATCTTGCAATACAAAAAAGATATCAAATAATTTCTTGTGTCATGAAAATTTGATCATCAGATTATTTGTAGAATTTGAATAAACCACATTGAAAATGAAATAGACTACTATGTGCAACAATTATACACATCTATCAACAGATAAGATTGGTATGTCCAACTTTCACATCTTTCCAATGGTCTATTATTCAACACCCAAACTGCTAATGTGCTAGCTATATGTTTTAAATTGATTATGTCACTCTTGCAGACCTAACATTAGTTTATGATGAAAGTGTAATCGGTGACGCAAAGGGGCTCAAAGAAAAACTCGCTGCAAAAGCTGCTGAGAAAAAGAAAACAGATAAAGAATTGAATAAGGTTTTACATCTGTTTATTTTTAACCGCAAATAATTATCCTGATGGCCATAAGGTCTTATACAGTTATTAATGTAAGCATTATGAATCAAAAGGAGAAAGACAAAGTCGTATTTATAAAACAAAGATCCCCATTGGATGTAATGAAGTTCTAAAATGCCTCATAATCTAGAGCCAAGATAGTAATGAATTTGCAATGTCGACTTAAAAAATGCATTTAAATCACCATCATTGATTCGACTTAGAGATTTTTTTAAAATATATATATTTATTTAATATTCTAACAATATGGAGAAAGCCAATGCAGTCCACCCATATATTAACTTCCAATCCATCCACCAACCATCAACGGCCCGATTCACTCACCCATTTCATCACTAATCAATCACCCGATTCAAAGTGACAACATCCCAATGAGATTGTGTTGTGGTTCTCAAAAGTCAATTTCGAAGAAACTAACAGTGTCGTTGCTATGATTTGCAGGTGCTGAACCAAATTAATGTCGACATTAAGGTTCCTGGCAAATGTGAGAAGACATGCCAGAGTTTGAAATTTGCCAACCCGCCTCTCCCCTGGATCACAGCTAACCCTTCATTCCCAGGCAGTGGTAGTACTTGGTCACGATTCCTTATGCAGCAGATTACAGGTAAAAACCCCAATGAACTTTATTTCCCAGAACTATTGAAAAGCGATGAATGAAATCCATTCCGTGCAAAGTATATTAGAATGAGTATTCGTGGGGATCGAGAGACTCAAATGTTGAAGCAATATTTTCCAAAATTATGCCAATGTTTTCCTACATTTAGTTTCTGAAAAAAGACTCGAGATTTCTGATCAAATTAAGAAGTCATCGAAAATCTAAGAGGCACTTATGTCCAAATTTATGAGAATAGAAAAAGGGGACGCCCCCCCCCCCAAGGTTTATCCTGACAATGTCAGAGCTGATGGCCAAAAATGACCAACAAAGGTTCAATTTCTTAAAGAATATCCCTTGGTCCATGAATCCAAAGTGAAAATAAAATTCTCGAGTATTATGAATTAACAATGCTTCCAGGTATTCCATGTGGGAGTGTGTACCACGCCAAAAGTGAGTGTTTCCCGGGAGAGGGTGTACAGGACGAAACTGTCTTGTGCGTCAAGACACACGGTCAGCCAAAGCATTATAATTTTTTCACCAGAGCAGTGATTATCATTCGGTAAGTGTTTTGACCCCGCTATTCTGCTACATATCCGTATGTCAATTAATGACTTTGTATTAAGTCTTAAATTAAAAAAAATTACCCATTTTAGCACATCGACCCGATGTGTTGTATTTGTCAAAGAGTGTCATTTTTATGTCACGACTAAGTTATGGTCTCCGTTTTTTTTTGTGACGGCGGTTGGCGATCGGCGGGTGGTGGTTGGCGTCTTTAACAAATGGGGGTGACATTTTGAACATCCTCCGTACGCAGGGCTCCAAAATCAATCCAGAATACCTTCTTTTTACGAAGAAGGAGGTACGGATTCTGAACACCTGAGGATGCATTTTCCATGTCAATGCCTTGTTCTTCATTTGTATTAATATCAATCAGATCCGATGTTTTTCTTGGATTTTACCCAAAGAACTTACCTATGAACCATTTTCTTGTTATATTCAATTGGTTGGTGTGTAGGAACTGCAGAGATACTTTGATAGCAGAAAGAAAGAGGAGATCTCTCTATGACGTCAGAAGAGGCAGCATAAATATGTTAATGGGTCAAGGTATTTAGTCAATTTGATGATTTTAAAAGTAAGGTCAAAACGTAGCTTGAAATTAGAAGAGATAGCGAGTGTATTCCATGTGGGAGTGTGTGAAAAGAGTGTGCTTTGTGAAAAGCAATATTTTCAAATAGCGTCCTAATGTTTCACTTCAAGTTTTGATTTAATGCATTTTCTAAAATCTGAGATTTCAGATCAAATATAGAAATTGATATTTGAAATATAAAAGGGGACGTCCTTTTTCAAATGTGTTGACAGAGAACCTGAGAAATAAAGTCAGAAGGTCTCTTCCCCTTCTATACCTTTTAAATCTGGAGAACCAACTCGTAATTATAATTCGGTAAATGATGCAAAATAAATCAAAGACGGTTATATTTTTCAGATTGGAATGCATGGTCGGAGCTGAAGGCAGTTGCATGGCGGGAGTTCTACCTCTCTTGGCTAAACACCACTAAAGATATCCACATTCTCACGTATGAAAAACTTTTAAAAGATGTCCGAGGAGAACTTTCAAAAATAGCCCAATTCTTCAATATGGAAATCGCCCCAGATATTCTTGACTGTGTAGTTGAAAATAAAGATTCACGATCACGCAGGGCATCACTAAACGCCACTGCCATGAAAAATTTTGATCCATTTTCCTCAACTGTTTCTACGCATATTGACCAAAATATGAAGATTGTTTGTGAAGCGATTAAGAATCGTTTCCCCAAAGAAGAGTGTGCTTTTTTAAAAACTCACTAGGGCGGATCTATTGAGACGCTACAGATGGAGGGAGTGTATTTAATACATCATCAAGTTTCGATGCAGAAGCTCGCTCAGGGATTACCACATTTAGCACAACACACCAGTCAGCAAGAGAGCCAACACACACTATATGACTATAATGAGCTATTAGTTTCAATTTGTCATTGTACAATCAAGTCAGAAAATTAAGATTTTCAAATACATGATCTCAAATGATTTTGTGTCACTGTTCGATCAAATTGGTTCAATAGTTCTGTGATCTATTGTCTAAAAACCTGAACAGCCGTTTCACAAGTGAACATGACACAGGATCCCTACCCTGCGTGCAGAGTCTAGACGAAGCTCTCTTTTAAGAAGTGAAGTCAAACGAATGCAAAAGGTACAGTCTCCCAGGTTGTAGAATAATACGCAAACCACAATTTCCTTAATAAATTGAAGAATTGTCCTTGTTATCTCTGCTTGACTATGGTCGTAGCAATACACCTGATAGTTATTTTTGCTAGACCGCATGTTACAGACCATACCGGCAAAGTGTATTGTAGAAACGAGTACGTATACTATATCTATAGTCAATCATGACCCGTTTAATAAAGGATTAGTATTTTGTGTCATTTTCAATCGATTATATCGTCCAACTTTGGGACAATTCTGATAATTTCTAAAGGGGAGAGGACAGGCGCACTTGAAAAGCGAACATAGATATATCATCTGCAATCCTAAAATGACGTCTGTATCCCGGCAGAATTAAAACAAGAACATTATTTATAATCTCTAGAATCAACAGTTTGAACAGATTACAGAGCAAATAAAAGAAACACAACATCCAAGATCTCCATCCATTTAATGACTTGAAACAACATTTGCCCAAATACCCAAATCCCTGTCCCTCAATTGTATTGACGACAATGCAAATAGGAATTTACTGAAAACCAAATTGATATCTGAATCTTAAATCATCTTTCACTTAAGCCAACGCACGAATCAGCCGATTGTTTTTTCATTAAGCATTTGGAAATACACCACTGAAGATGTCCAAGAATAGTATTAGTGAAGAAACAATGGTCCAACGATTGGACGAGAAACCTGATATGATAGACAGAGATCCCAATAATATAAATGACCATGTTGGGGTAAGTATTTTGTTGGTACAAGTTGTTTTGCAATTTAATTTTAATGAATAACAATCACGTATGCAGTGTTGTCGGAGAATTTAGACCATTAGCTTATATCTACGCTGATGCCAACAAAAATTTGTTTTAACATTTAAACCATTTGGATGCTTTTTGCGATTAACCCAATGAACCATCAAATAAAGATTCAGAAAGTATATATTGAAAGTCAAAGGGTTAAACCAACTGAGACACGGGCGTCACATGGCCATAACCCGAGGACCATAAAAGATTTGGAAGAAATAAAGTCAAAAACCTTACTTCTTCCTGAGCTGGTGATGGTGTAAAACATGACGCGGTCAAAGTGCGCTCACAAAATAGCGCCGGCTATCCCCGGGCGGTTATCCTGACAATATAAGTTCTCATCAATTCATTATCAAATTAATATATACACTAATTATAAGCATGACAATTTGACAAACACATAACTGTACAAACATTTTAGGGATGCGGTTTCTAGAGCAACAATCTTAATTAATCAATTATTCCAAATAGTTCGAAATACACTCATCAATGTGTATGTAAAACTTCATAATTAATCAATATAATGTTATCCCATATGATAGAATAGATTTGATTTACCTTCTTGGCATAACGCTAAAACTAAAGTTCATTCATTATAAAGTAGATAAAAAACAATGTCGTTTAGAAAACAGGATTTGGGCCGAGATGTTGACAATGCGGCTGATGATATTGCCAAGAGTACCGATGAAATAATCCAAGATGAAAAACCAGATATGATTGAAAGAGATCCGAATGGAATTAATGAATACGTTACGGTGAGTTAGGAAGTATTGTAATATGATGAGGGCATCCATTTTTCCATGCTTTGTCTTTGTCCTTTGACGAGAAAACTGAAAAATTGTTTTAAAGCAATACCTCGATTCGTTAAGTGTTTAGAAATGATAAGTGAATGCTTTCATGCTCTGTCCTTCAGTCAAGGAACTGAAAAGTAGTTTGGCATAAATATCTCGATTCGCAAGTGGTTTATAATTCGTTTATTGAAAGTATAAATAAATTTTCAATCATATAATTTTGAGCGAATGTAAAACAACAGAACATTGTCATCGTAGTTTTCCTTCCATATTCAAGAAATATCGGTGTATGGCAAGTTCTATTTAAAGGACCACTGCCCGTAAAGATCAACCAAAGTAACCACTTATATTTTTGTTAGCACCTTTTTTCAATTGAAAAGGACAATTTAAAATTCAATTAATTTTTACAGAAGTTTTAATAACCGCAATATTTGACAGAAAAGAAGGTTTATATCTTAGTCTATATATTGTGAATAGTATAAAATGTGTCAATTACATATCATCGTGAATTAAAACATATTTTTAAAAGGTCATATAGTGTGAGAATTACAGCCATGCTTGGCGCAAGGGTATTCCACTTCTTTCTGAATATTGAAGCATAAACAAGGGTTTCCACTTCTTTCTGAATTTGTTGAATAAATGAAGCCCTTTAAATGTTCAGCTATTTGCCTGTAAGGTTATACATTTTCCCAAAAGTAATTCCAGGATTTCATCTAAAGTAAAAATCGTGCTTAGGGAAGATAGCGACCGGAAAATGACGTATTATTTGCGCAAATAAATAGTAACATCGCCCTTCGTTCTCTGCCCAAATGAGCTAATTGATCGATGTGACAAATGACTGATGGCAAATAGAAAGGATGATGATCAAATAATGATTGATACTTGAATAAGGGATTACGCCTTAAATGTTTAACACAATGTTTATCAAGATAAATACCAACCATATAATAATTATTAAATCTTGTAAATGGGAACGCATCATCACTTAGATACAGAGCACGCAAGGTAACAAGAAGGGGGATTCTCAAGTCGGGATTGTTGAACAAAATAAAAAATGACTAGCTCAAGAGAAGTAGGAAAGGAGATAGATAATATGGCTCAGGAAACCGAAGATCATTTCAAAGAAATGGAAAAACCAGATATGATCGAGCGTGATCCAAATAACATCAATGACCATATTGGGGTAAGTCGCCTTCATGTGGGTCGAGTGCCCTAGGTCACTTTGCATTAATTATGATATCACGGAAACAATCAACAACCACATTGACTCGTGAAAAATATCATAACTGACCCCGGGTAACTGACTTTTTAAAAATTGGATCACGGTAGATTTTAAAGATAACACTCCTAAATTCAAGCCGCGGTTTAAGGATATAAGCCCTGGACTCAGTGCATTGTTTGCCGAATCATACCATGAAGGTTTTGTTTCCAAACCTTTGCATGACCGCGCAGCGGGAATGCAAAGTTTAGGAAACAACGCCTTCGTGGAATGAAGCAGCTACAATGCATCGCGCCTTGGGCTTAAATTCTTTTCACACATTGCAATTTTTTCTACAAAATCATCCAAAAGGAACGAAATCACTAAAGGAACAAGGGTCAAGTTGGCAAGTCATCTGGAATCGGGCACACCGTGCCTAGCTATGTGTGAATTAACTCCAAAAGATGAAATTCGGCTACACTGACAACACCTGTCAAACAAGCAAGCCGCTGCATTTACATTTAAAAACCATCAGTAGCGTAGGCAGGATTTAAAAGGCGAAACAAAACTTAGTCAAGGGAGCATTGTACTTCATAGTTTTCATATGAGTCAAAATAACGTCTAAAATATTTTTCTGTAAGGTTTTGGCGGAACGTTCATGTATGCTATTTTCCAAAATGTATTTCGATAAGGCAACGGGACGACTGCCTCGTCGGCCTTATATTTTCAATAGTGGCCAACAATAAGGTTGATATTCCAAATGATTCCCATTCCCAATCATTTATTTTATGCTATTCGTGTGTTACAGGTGGAGTTTGAAGACATCATAGCTGAACCAGACGGTGCTCACTCTCAAGACTGTGTCTGGAGGAACTCCTACAAGTGCTTCAACTGCGGCAAGAACCTCTGCTATAAGATCCTCACCTTTATCTGCGCTCTTCCCCTCGCCCTCTGCTGGGGCTGCTCCTTCGCCTGCATCTCCTTCAGTCACATCTGGCAGGTCACCCCCTGTTACAAGGTCCTCGATATCAACTGTGGATGCATCAGAAAGTTCTGGGGATTGTGCGTCAACTGCGCTATTGGACCTTGTTGCGAAGCTTGTTCACTCTTCTTCGCTCCATTCGCAAGCTCGGGGACCAAAGTTACTATTCAATAGGCATGATTATACAGGAGGACCATCGAATTGGACATGTACGCTATTTGCAAGCGTCTTTGAAGATAGTTCCGACATGGAAGACATTGATATGATTTTCATCAAATTATCACTCATGGCATTTTCAGCTGAGTCATATTTTTCATTAGATAGAATACATGCAATGCAGAAATAAAAACAATGCAAAGGCCAGACTTTATCTTATTCAACTTAGTGATGCGTGCCGTCAGTTTTTGATCAACTGCTTTCTAAGATTTTTTGTGAATATATACGATATATACGATGTACCTTTGTACAAAAGGCTCAAGCACTATCTGTGATATATGTAAATAAAACTTGACCATTATTCAGTAAACAGTAAAATGTTTGTTACATAAATAACAGCGCTTTGTATGACTTGGTGTGCTGGTGAGCTCAGCTCAGGTGACCTAGTTTAAAAAGTAAGTTCCCTGAAATACTTTCCTCTGAAATCATCGAAAAATAGAAAGGTTTAAACTCCCTTCTTCCCAAAATCCCCCTTTCTAAACCACGTGTGCCTGTCTATCTTGGAATTTTATTTGTTTATCTTTGATCTTTTCCAAAAATCTTTGTTGTTTATTTCTCGTTAACATTCAAAATACGTCGGACAGCGATCATTTGTTACAGACGTCGACCGCCAACCGCCTACAGGCACCGTCCACAAAAGAGTTGGAGACTATAATTATGTCTTTGTCACCACTTCTTGCGGTGACATAATGTCGTTGGATTGCTTCAAATCATTGAATAACAAGGTATACCAGCATAAAGATTGCATCATTGTGAGTTTAAAATAAATGAATTTACGTCCGAAATGGATGAGTTAAGGATTTGAACATGACCGTTCTCTAATTGAGTTGCTGAACCAATCAGAATGCAACATAGCCGTTCTGTAACTCTCCAAACATGAACGACCATGCATCTATTTATCAGATATTGATTAAAAATCATAGTTTTAATTTGTAACGTGACAACGTCACGAGATCAACAACTGCGCCTTTCTTTAAAATTCTAATGGCGCCACAACCTACTATACCATGTCCTAAGTAGTGTATGTTAAGGAGGCACGGGATTACTTTGCGGTGTCTAAAAATGCGATGCCAGAAATGAGATGCTGAGACTACTTTGCGGTGCCTAAAGTGAGATACCAGGAATGAGATGCCAGGGGTTAATAACATTTTTACTAATGATGAGATGCTTGCTTTTGTAGTAACCATAGTGATAACCTGAGGTTTGTGGTAGCTTCAATTTGAGACGCATAACGGTATCCTTATTTAATTGAAATGCTTTGTAGAGAGTCTTAACATTGAGATATCTCTGAGATACCTTTGTGAAACCTTAAAGCAGGGATAAGTCAGGGAATCTTAAAACTGCGACGTCATATTAAGAACTCATACAATTATTGAAATGAAACCTTAAAAACTGAGTTGGTTTGAGAGACTTTTCGGTGATATCTTAAAATTTAGGTACTTTCAAGATATCTTTGTATTATATCAAATACGATAAGACATTGGAAGGGTAAGTACATTATCAATCATTACATAATCATCCTTGCAAGACCTCAAGTTGTTGCTTCATTGAGATGCACTATGCATCCATGAACATTCAGCTTGTGTTCATGAAATACTTTGTGAAACACCTTTGTGCCACCTTAAAACTGAGCTTTTCAAAGCTTTAGACTTCGAGATACCTTTGTGGAACTTAACTTTTGGCTGGTTGGGAAAATTCTTAACTGTAATGACATTGAGTTGCTTTGCGATTCCTAAAATATGATAACTACTGAGGGTTGGTGAGCTAACATTATCACACTTTGATAAGATATGAAGAAACCATCCATCTGCGGGATGACAACACATGTTGCATCACATCTTGATAAGTCTCATATATAGACTCTGAACTTTACTAATTTGTAATGTTCAACAATTGCAGTACAAAATGTCATCTCCAGCAATAATTGAAACAGTGTGGAATGCAACGACAAAATGCATCATCATTGAGGATGTTAATTCGGTGAGCGCCTCTCCCGAACTAACGCCGAATAGCGACACAAAAAAACATAAGATCAACACCACCACCACCATTCAAGAAACGCATGGTTAGCTTTCAGAGAGAGTTGACGTTAGGTATACCTGCTCAACCTAGCTGTCGGAGAGACTTGAAGCTTGGTATACCCCCTCATCCAATGACACTAGATGGTGTAGTACACTTTCATCTGACTTTGGAAGATGCAGCGCGTCCATCTGGATGTATCGTCAATCCGATTCAACCTGAATGACCACAAATGCTCAAGATTTCGAACCGCTCCTGCTTGCGGGAAATATTCATATACACGCAGGGAGATCACGTTGTAATTCGAACATTTAAACTTAAACTTATCGTTGTGAACAAGGTGAAGCGGGTAGGCTGTATGCCTTACAGCTCGAAGTTTGCACGACTACCTCGACAGGAGTTTGACTACATGATCACCTGCTGCACAGAAAGAGGAATTCGGGAGTATATGCGTGCCATTCAAGATGATTTGGCCATTCCAAACCAGGCACTGGCTACACCTTTGAATGCACCGCATCACCTAGGACTGGGATACGAGTTCAAAGTGCATTCTGATATAAACCTTTTCGAAGTAACAGCGACTTACCATGACCGGGTAAAACAAAAATTTACCCAACTTTGGTCAGTGTACCTCAATTTCGAGGAGATGGAGGATGTATTGAAAAACATACACAGTCTTATTCCTCCCTTAGCTATAGAGGACATGAATTGTATAGCCACGTTACATGGTGATCATATGAACCAGGAGGGTATGTGGGCTTGTAACGTGTGCCAATATCTCTCTCCATGTGATAACCTGCTTGACAATTAGATACACTTTTTATCTTTAAATTGTGTTGTACTAGCTAAAGCATTCATTGCAGGCAACATAATTACATCAATGGGAAATCACACAAAACATTTCTCTGTCTATTGTTATTTTGTATTCAATTTTTAATAAATGATTCAATTATTATCCCATCGAACGAAGTTCCGTCCGTCCGTCCGTCCGTACGTCCGTCCATACATCCTTCCATACGTCAGTCCGTCCGTCTGTCCGTCCGTCCGGGTGATAACTCAAATACCGTTGGCCCGATTTTGTTCATATTTTGTACAAATATGCCCTATGGCGGTAGAGGTTCTACTCGAAAGCCGATTTTCAAAATGGCCACTCGTTTCAAAATGGCGGCCATTTCAATGCCGATTTTACAGTAATTTAGGTACAATATATAAAACTGTAATAGCAATGTGTTTTAAATGTAAAGAAGTTATAAAGGACATAATAAAGCTAGAAATGTAGATATTTAAGAAACACACGACAGCCAACTTGTAAAATGGCGGCCCTTACACGCTATTTACGATTTTTGCTGTAACTTGAAAAGTAGTGGAGCGATTGTGTTCATATTTGATATTTGAATACTCATAAGCATGGCACACTGTCTAATGATACTTTGGGTAGTAGGTGGCCATTTTGAAAAATGGCCGCCATTTTTACGTGTGTTATTTTACGTTTTTTCCCCATAACTTGAAAAGTAGTGGAGCGATTTTGTTCATATTTGATATGCGAATACTATAAGCATGGCACCCTGTCTATTGACACTTTGGTTTTGGGGTTTTTGGCCACCATTTTTACGTGTTTTATTTTAAGTTTTTTACTATAACACGAAAAGTAATAGAGCAATTTTGTTCATATTTGATATGTGAATACTCATAAGCATGGCACAATATCTTATGACACTTCGGCTAGTAGGAGGCAATTTTTCAAAATGGCCATTTACATGTACATGCGTGCGATTTTGTTGAAATTTTATATGTGCCTTTCTAGAAGCAATTGTCCTTTTGACAATTTGGCAACTTAGCGAGCATTTTGAAAATGGTAGCCATTTTTATGTGTGTTTATGTACGATTCTTGCTATAACTGAAAAAGTAGTAGAAGGATTTTGTAAAAATGGCAGCCATGGCTGTTCGATAGGATTTGCTACGCTTTGGCGTTGCTGTTGTCTAGTTGCAATATAATATCAATACAACGTTAAATTAAACTGTTCTATAATATTTACATCTGTTTGATAAGTTCTACCTACACAATTGTATTTTAAATATAATTACAACATATTGTACACATACTCTCATATATGAGAATCGTGTAGTTTGGAAATTAATAAAAGTTGTTCCTTGATACAACATAGAATAATTTGTTTATTTTACTACTCAATAAGAAACGATGCATAGGTGAGACTTTCATCTTAGATGGATAAGAAATGAATTGAATAAGAAAGGATGCACATATTATGATCTCTGTGTTTTCGTAGAGTGATGGTGATCACATTTTTTTGAAGCACGAGGTTTCTTTTGTAACATAAATAACAAAACAATGACATAACACTTTGTTTTATAATGTACATTTACTCTTATATTTATGTCATAAGTTTCTTTACATGTTAAATGCTGGTCATATCAGTATTATTACTTTCGGAATTGCTTTCATCATTATAATAAGATTGCTCTTCATCAGTAGATTCTTCATCAGAATTGCTTTCATCATTATTATAAGATTGCTCTTCATCAGTAGATTCTTCATCAGAATTGCTTTCATCATTATTATAAGATTGCTCTTCATCATCAGTAGACTTTGCTTCAGAATTGCTTTCATCATCATCTGTATCTTCTATGAATAGCTCATTAAACTTATGTTCATTATTCACAAGTGCCTTTTTGATTGCAAGATCTCTAGAGACACCTCTCATCAACATATCATTCACTGCATCTACAATATTTCTGTGTAATGCATTGTCTGCTAAACCGAAAACTTGTTTTAAGACCTTCTTATAGTGCTTCATAAATCTTTCCTTATCATTTCGTACAAGTTTCTTCTCAGCCTTTTCCATAGCTTCCTTTTCATTGTTTCCCCTATCCATATACTCCTTTACTTTATGATTATAATCTTTTTCATTATCACTTCTAGCCTTGTTTTTTAAATATACAAATATTTCATTTAATGTAAGATCAGCATCTTCTTCACGGGAAGAATCTTGTCCTATTTGTGAGGTGGTTTCAATCTTCATTTTCTTGGGCAGTTGACCTTGCTCTTGGCACCAATTCCTGATGTGACGTTGCAAATCGTGTACGCTGTCAAAGACTAAACCACAGTTATCACATGATACCATATTGTTACATCCGCCAGAGATTAAATGAGGAGACAAACAAGGAGAAGGTCCAGTTTTTATATCATGCATTCTTGTATCCTTTTCATGCGTTTGAGGTGTTTCTGGTAGCTCATGGTGAAGTACATTTGCATTACTTTCACGCTGTTGCGATTGATT